TTTTTTGCTCTAAATGTTGAAAATTTAAATGTTCAAATTATTTTATAAAGAAATTTGGTGCATTTAATATCAACCATCTATAGAAATTTACTTTATCTGTTTTATTCGGAATAGTTTTTTTCGAAAACAATGGTAAATCGGTTTCAAGTTCAAAATAATGTAATACTGTAAATACTGTAATACCATATATCCATCTCTATATCTCGACCGACCGTAGAATCTCTTCCGACCAAGAAGTCTCGTATTTTATACTTGAAAGAATTATAATTATGGATTTACGTAAACATGTATAATTACGGAGAAAACGTTTTTTTAAAGCTATATAATAGGATCTTAAAAGGCTAAAGTTGGGCAATTCCTTTGATTAAATTATGATGAAAGTAATAATAAAATGTTGATGATGGTTAATTTTTTTTTTGAAAATGAAAATATTATATTATACGCAATTTCAATATTAAATTTAAATACCCTGATTTGTCATGAGAGCCATGAGACATTTTTGAGGCGAAACAATCTTAGTATTTCAGGGCGGAGCTGAGTCGACGTGGACCTATCTAAATCCGGCAGTCGCAACATTGATAATACCATGTCATGATCGGTTACAATCTCGTCGCTCCACCGGATTACATATTCTAACATTATTCGCTAATAATATAAGCGAATAAATAAATAAACGGTTTATTTATTCAATATGCTAATCCGTAGTGGCGCCACGTCCACGTGTATATCTGCCGTACGCAAACGGCGGTTATATGATATGCGCTGTACATAGGTGTTATTAAATCCGAATACGTTAGCCGATGTGTTGGTATTACTGAGTGCGCTGCAGCGGCGGTCACGCGCAGTATGACGCTCGCGAACGCCTAGTCGTGTCCACCCGCCGCCACCGCGTCCGCCGGTCTGCTGCCGGCCCCGAACTCGACTCGCAGGTAATTCGTTCGTTCGTTCATCGTCGGTTCGCGATTGTCTTGAACCTGAACCGTCAAAGCCCGCTTGGTCGCGCAGTCGCCGGTTCGACGCAATCGATTGCGGGTCCATTGGCCGATCGCACGTCGTCGTCGTGTCGTTATATTTCCGTTCTGCGACGCGGAACACGTGCCCCGCGGCAGTACAATCGATTCGATAAATCCCGCCGCAATAGTAGTACCTGACAGCATCCGCGACGGTCACGGCACAATTAGCGTAACACCCGTTGTATTCGATATCGTATCTCCTGCCCGAGCGGCTTTTGCGTTTTTCAGGACGATCGTAGCCCGCACAGGAGAACGACCACGCGGACGTTTCGGCTCAGCGCGAGGCCACGTCGTGACGACCGCGGTTGACCACCGTCTCCGCCGACCACAATCCGTCCCGTTGGGTGACCAGCTGCGCGCGTGAGCGGATACGTCCGGAGGAACGCCCCGTCGTGCGCGAATCGATAAGGTAAGTTGGCGTGTACGTGTATGAAACCAATAGCAACACGATCATTTTACAACAATGATCTTGACGTGCATTGTACGTGTGCAGTGCACGTATTATGAAAACGTCGAGGCGTGCACGCCTTCCGTTTTCTCGTCCGTCGGTTTCCCGTGCGATAGTTCACCGTATTGCGCGCGCAAATCGACCGATTGAGGCGTCCTGAATGTGTTCGAACTGTGCAACAACCGGACAGCTCCATTTCTAGCGAAATTCGTTATCATGATTTAAAATATAAAAAATTATTATCAGATTTTCTGTGCAAAACGAGATAAATCCGACTGTCCGTTTAGAAATTTTAATGGTTTTGAAGCTACCGGGTTTTTTATTTTCCGACGAAAAACCAAACAACTCCGGAGATGTCATGGTTTTGCCATAGGTTTAGTTTTTTTTTCTTAAAACTTAAGTATGTTGTTTGACAGTATAGGTACATAATAATAATTATTATTAACTCAGTTTAAAAAAAAAACTAATTCTTTGTAAGCTTTTTACATTAGTATATAATGATAATTATTATTAACTCGGTTAAAAAAAACTGATTCTTTTAAGCTTTTTACATTAAAAAAAAAAAAGGATTTACCAACTCCGAGCAATAAACAAGACAACTTTAAGAAATAAGAATAAAAATAAAAATATAGAAAATAAAAAATATGAATAATAAGAATATAACTTTAAGCAATAAGAAAGAAAACTTTTTTATTTATGGCTAAAAGCGTAAAAAAAATGTTTATGTATCAACTTCATTGAGGGTTCCACAGTTTTTATCACTATTTTAAGTGTATAAAATAATCTTTCTTTTTATTATTATTCACTTATGTATAAATTAAACATTAAATATGTGCTTGCTAAAAAAAATGATAAAACGGAGCTGTCTGATTATTGCACAGAGCCCTTCAGTTGGTCTATTTATCTTACTATGTATGGCGAAACCATAATTCCATCTCCAGAAAGTCTCCGCTCGTCCGACGATCCTGTTGCGAATACCTTTTATTTTGCACATATACGCTAGTCCGTGATTTGGAAAAATCTACGTAAAATCTGTGCGGTTAAGTTTTTCCAAAAAAAAAAACAGTTTTTCAAACGATTTTTACACCCGCTGCTGTCCGAGGACACCTGTGGCTCATCGATTGCATCTGCATAACAGTTTTTTATTTGTACTGTAATGCTACGCCGACCAGTACATCATATAGGATTTGTTTTACGTTATTTTACCCGTGCACTGGTGGTGCGAGTACTGATGTAAACGAATCAGAATCCGTTCTATCCGTTAAAGTTAATTTTAAAGACTGTGATGTTTGTTTACAATGTTGACTTTTGGATTGGTTTTCTAGTATTTTGGATTTTTAAATATTGGTTTGATGTTGACAATATTACAGTTTTGCATCTTTTAAATGTAGCAACAATTTTATGTTTTTGTCATTTGTGTTTTGTACACGTACAAAATATATATAAAATTATAATTTTTTAGGGATAGCCAGGTAACCTACTTTGGCTCCCCAAGATTATCTGTATACACATTTATAATATTAATTATATAAGTATCTACTACAATAATTTGTTATATTTCCGTTGGTTATTTAGAATTTTCTGTTTTTTTCGAATTTTCGGATTGTACGATTCTTGGCTATTACAAACTATCGACGTGAACCATAATGAATTATGTAGATTTGTGAATACAACAAAATAATAAAATGTAGGTTGAGATAAAATTAATTTATGTTAGATGAACAAAATTGGTAAATAACTACAAAAGAGTATTATTTTTTTTCAATTCAAATGATGTTCCATTCAAAATAATTAATTTCCTATAGTTGCATAATTTTTAGCTGTTATTAAAATACAATTCAAAAAGTGACTAAATTTAAATGATATTGAATATGTTTTATATTTTACGATGAGAACAGAAACTTCGACCTCGTTGTTTTTTGAGTATAATAAACAACGTTTTCTAAATTTTATAAAATAATTAATTTACGTTTTAAAGTTTTAGTTTTAGAAAATATATAATGAAAATTCCAGTTTATACTTCATATTACATGTTATATATCCTCATATCCTCATAATTTCACTTTTGTACTTTCTAGGTTTTATAGTACCTAATACTGTGCTTTTATGTTGTATAACATTATTATGACAAAAAGTGTTCAACTCGAAATCAATAGTTCGAACAAACAAGTTCTCGTATCCCGTTATTTCGAAATTTTACATAATCAAAATATACAAATAATATTTTTCTTGTAAAAGGCTGACTTAGCTTTCAGCTTCAATTTCAAAAGCTAAAACTATATTACATTTAAGACCTAGGTCCTAAAAATTTAGTTATTAGTTTATTAGTTCCTAACCTTAATATTGTTATTCATTAATAATTCATCATTCTACAAAATAATTATAAATAGATTCTTATTAGTTTTAAATTGAGACAGTTATACTTTTTTGTTTATACTTTTTGTATGTTAGAATCTAATCCTTATAGTTTACAGAACGATGTGTTATCATTAATCAATAATTAAACATCTTGACTTTAATGATACAATTGAACTCGACGACGATTGTTTTATTTTAATTTTTCATCATTAAAAATGAATAAATTATATTATGTGACTAAAACAATTTGTAAATATTATCATTTAGATAGGCGAGTGAAAAGTTCAAACGAAATCATTTTACGATATGAATGTATTAAATGTATAAATGGATTTGAAGTTGCGATAAAATTTTAAAACAATTTCAATATAGTGATATTATAGTTTTACATGATATTTATAAAAAAAATATTCAAAACTTTTTTATTTTATGCAATGTCTATTTTACTTTTTAACGCTTACCAACTAACGCATTAATTTTTCATACATATATTTGTATTTACTTATATAGTTTAACTTTTTTATAAACAAATTTACAATTGAACAATACAACACAACATAATATAACAAATCAAATGTAGTATAGTTAATGATTATAAACAGTTTTTAGTTTGGCAATAACTGTTGTTACTTTTCGTAGGTTTATTTGTTGAGTTTCATTCAGTTCATTTTATAAGAAATTTTCACTGGGTGATAAAAATGTTTTTCTCAAAATAGTCAATGTAATACCATAGTACGATTATAGTATTACACGTTTGTTTCGCATTATTTTGCCCAATCTTTCAAAATATTGTCAACAGAGCTGGTAATCACTGGGTGACATTTGTGTCGCCTAGTTAACTAGTTAAAAAATGCACTGGTTTTATAAGATTTTATTAATAAAATATTATATCATTACGGCTGTATTATATTAAAGTTGTTGCAGCATACTACTTATAATAGGAGTTCTTAGAAGTTTTATATATAAAAAATATAATGTATTAAATAATGGTCATAACATCTAGAAAATTAACTATATTCAAACTGTTTATCACGATTATAAGTATATACAATTTTTCCTTTTAGTTTATTTATAATTATAGTTATTTTTTTCATTTATAAATTAACGAAAAAATATAAAATCTATGTTTCTGTATAGCTTAAATTTTCATTAAAAAATAGTTTTATCTTAAAATAAACTTATTTTTTAAATTTTTTTATATCTACTTGATTTATTTACTGTATTTAATTCTTGATATGCAATTGAAAAATTTCCAACCATTTTTAATCGTTGACTAACGTAAAATCTGCTGAATGATGAAATTTTTACATGTATAATATTTGCAACAATTTTAAATTTCATTTAAATATATGTGAACATATTAAACAAGAAATTTGATTTTTTTTTTTGATTTAGTGTGATAATGGCCGACGACATTAAAGTACTTTGGCGTGATGTAGATGCAGTTTGTTTTGATGTTGATTCTACAGTTATTCAAGAAGAAGCGATTGACGAAGTTGCCAAATTTTGCAATAAAGGAGAAGAAGTTAAGAAATTGTAAGGGAAATGCAAAAAAAATTTCGCCTTAATTGCTATATAGATGTACTATTTTTGAATACGTATTTCGAATTCCTGATAAATTTATTTTTTAATTTAATTTTTTTTTTTATATCACAGTATTTTACTCGTGTCTATATTATATAATACTATTTAGTATTATCAGCGCTAATATGATATGTAATTACTATATTTTTCTGAAGGATGTTTAGAAAAAGAATCATCTTTTTGAATGTATATTTATTTGACCACCAAATTAGTTTTTAATAACCGTTTGTTAGTTGCCTGATTCAAAACCAATCGTTGTTAATTAGGTGAACGATTAATTACACTTGTTACGGAGGCACGTGTCTTTTACAAATATTCTTTTATTATTTACACTGTAAATAACAACCATGTGCTGTTTAAAGCTCGAGTAAATAATATATTTACTAGACGGAATAAATTGCATATAATTAATAAATCATATAATATGTGTGATAACCGATGAACCATTTATGATTCCAAGTTACTTAATTGTTTGAAGGTCAAAAAAATCATATTAAAAATATTGTTTCATCATTAATTCGTTCTTGTTATACATACATAAGCAATTATGAATATTTTTTTTTTTCGTACAGCTTGCATTTTAATAAATTGTAAGTAAGCCATAGTAGTAAAGGCGTGTACACTATACTTGGATATTTCTGATGATCTTGAAAATGTTTCGGAGGACATAGGACTCCGTACTTGATTTGCGACTATGGTTATTAGAAAGTTTTTCCGTTAAATATTATTAAAAAATCAATGTTTCGACGTAAAATTGAACACCTGTCTAAAGTAATAGTCGTTCGAAAAATGTCGAAGTTTAATAAGTTTAATTAAGTTCCACCATAACAATGGAAAACAATGAAATTCCTTGTCATTAAAAATGTATTCAAACGCATTCACTCAAAAATGTTCACAATCGTATATGTACAGACAGGGATGGTGCGAGGGAGGGGGCAATAGGGCAATAACCCAGGGCCTCACGCCTTAAATTATAATTTAGGCCCCGCGGTTCTTATTTAACTGAAATTAAAATATTTTATTAATAGAAATTATAACACTCAACTTTTGCCCAGGGCCTCGTAAACTATCACCGTCACTGTGAACAGAAATCGTGTATCATAAATTCTAGGTATTCGGCCTACACTTTCTTCTATAGGTTTTGCTATAGGTTTTTTCTATAGGTTCTATCATTTTGCACACGTATAAATAATAAAGGGGTTGATTTTAAGCATTTTGAATTTTAAATCTGCTTTATCATTTATATGCACTTGAGTTTGAAAATCATTAGGAAAAATATTTTTTAAAGTATTTTAATACTATAATTTTCCCGTAGATTTGCAATTTTATTTTTAAACTTAAATTAAAATCATTATTCTAATATCAACAAACTGTCTTTATATCTTAAATAATATATGAATTCATATTTCAGGACTAACAGTGCGATGTCAGGTAAGATGGACTTTAGAGAAGCACTCGCGGCTCGACTTCAAATAATTAAACCGTCTTTGCAACAAATTCGAGATTTCATAAAGGAACATCCGTTCCATTTGACTCCTGGCATTAGGTAATAAAGAAATCAAAATGTACTGTGGGTGTTACGTAAACGTAGCCAATGCTGATTTTAATTTCAAATGTCATACTTAAAGAAAATATATTAATTTATAATATATAATTTAGAGAGCTTATTCAATTATTGCAACAAAAAAATATACCTGTATATTTGATATCTGGCGGATTCCGTGGCCTCATTGGACCAATAGCTATAGAATTAAGTATTCCTCTGCAACATATTTTCGCCAATAAGTTAAAGTTTTTTTTAAATGGTGAGTTTCGTAATGTATTCAAATAATTCAGATTGTTAAAATATACATTTTTTATGCGTTTTTTTATATTAAAATATGTAAAACCGCACGTAGCTTTTTAGAGTAAAATAATTCAGAATTATTATTTAAAATAATTTAAAATAATCTAATTTTATTTTATCTCCAAAATAAATTTGATACATTTAATAATTCTTTTAACTTCTCCGTAATTATTAGTCTTGTTGTATATATGTAAACAAAAGTATTTTAAATTAAAATTAATTAATATATAAATTATATTATAGGTGACTACGCTGGATTTGACGAAAAAGAACCTACGTCTAAAAATGGTGGAAAAGGTGAAGTTATAAGTATGCTCAAAGAAAAATACGGTTATACCAAGTTGTTTATGATTGGTGATGGAATTACCGACTTAGAAGCATGTCCCCCTGCTGATGCATTCATTGGTAAGCTTATAAATTATTTAATGATGTAAGTGTACAGAGCACATTATATACCAAACACTTATACATTTTTAGTTCATAATCATGATATATATCTTGACTTATACATTTTTATACTGTCTATATTTTTAAGATAATTATATTATTGTTTTGTGTTATTGTTTCTTAGGGTTTGGTGGTAATGTGCTTCGAGCAGAAGTTAAATCTAAATCAAAGTGGTACGTTGAAAGTTTTCAAGAACTTATTGATACTCTGTGACTATAAAAAAGAAAACAATATACAATTTGTAATTATAATCACTTTTGCTAAATACTGCAATAATCTATCTATACATACAAACAATTTATAAAACAATTAGGTACAGTAACTTCAGTACTTACTTAGTACATACTAATTCATTTGATCACAAATTGGAATTAAGGTATTATTAAAATATACTATTTATACATTATTATTGTACATTATTCTTGTGCATGTTTATAAGATGTTGTTTTGTATTTTATTTGTTATTTCATTAACAATTATTATTAATATTATTTATGAGTATTTATGCATAAATTATATAAAAAAAAATTGTAAATTTTATACAAATATTATTCAACTATATTCTAACTATATTAAGCTAAAATAAATCATATGGATTATGTAAATTAGGTTCAAATTGTTTGTCTATTTCATTATTGTTATATTATATTTATAACATACTTACAGTATACTATATAATACACTATATTTGTTATTTATTGTTGGATTTTTTTTTTTCAAATACATTTGTTAAAAACAAACATATAACCAAGGATTAATAAATAAACTTGTTTTTATGTATGTATGTATGTATGTATGTAAGTATTTATAGACAACTGTCACAGCCTACTATATATTTTTTGTGCTGTCTATATTCTTCACTAATTATTTCAAGACCACTCTTTTTTGACATACATATTATTAAACATTTATTTTTATACATAATATACTTCGTTAATAATTGAACCTTGTAGCTGTAAAAAATAAATATCCAATTCAACAGTTTTTAATTAATGTATATATATTATATGTAATTAGTAGGCTTAGGGACTTCTAGCATTTGCATACTTTTTATAATTATTATTAAATATAGCAGAGTGCGAAATAAATTCATTTCTCATTGCTATGATATCAGATCTAAAATTTGAATGTGCATATTTTTGCATATTTGATAGATTTTGCAGGAGAGTGCATATTTTAAAATTGTTATGCTTATTTTGCATATTTTGACAAATTTTTCAAATTTCAAATTAAAAACTTTAGATACATATAACTATATATACATATTTCAACCTATCGAAAAAAAAATGTACTAAAAGGACTTAATACTTCCAGTAATATGCCATCTGAAAATTACCTCTCATATCTCGTTATAGATATATTTAAATCCGATGGACACGTTTTATATTGTATACTATGTGGTCATTTTTTTTTTTTTTTATAATGCATATAAATGCATATTTTAATGATTTTAGAAGCATATTTGTGTATTTTTTAGAGCTACAAGTCCCTAAGCCTAGTAATCAGTATGCAAATGCAAGAGTATAGTTGAGGCTTTGTTCTAAGCGAACTCAAAAGTTATGGCGTAGCGAGCGTCATATCACTCAATTTTTACAAAATTTTCCATTTTTATAAACATTTTAGTGTAGGTACTAATATTGTTAAAAAAATGTAATAATTTGTTAATTTATGGTAGGTTGTCAGATGGTCGATTGCTTATAGAGAATAGTTGGCCAGAACCATTTCAGTTTGACCCAGTCGAGGAAATTTTGTAAAAAAATGTATCAATAACTCCACTCCCCCCCCCCCCCGGTACCAATTTAGGTTTACTACTGGTTTATAATAGGTAAATGATATCTTATTATACCGTGAAGGACTGTAGATATCAGTGGCGGATTTGAGGGTTAATCGAAAGTTCCACCGCAATAGCCTAAATTAAGTTTTAATAATTAAATAGCTAATATAGGTAAATAATTGAGTGTATAACAAAATTATATTTCTATAGTAACCGTGGATAATTTTTCAAACCCAGATTTTATAGCTTATCTGAAAAGGTCTACTATTTATTCTTACACTAGTCATCACTATCTTATCTTAATTTATGTCACACGTTTATAATACAAATTTAATCCATGTCTTATTTTAGTAATTTCACGGTCGTCTGCGTAATTCGTACTTAATCTGTAGCAGAGTTGTTTTGTTTAAAACATTTTGTTTTAAATATGTATGAAACAACTAAATAAAACAATTTTTAATTTGTTTTAATCAATAGTAACTGTCGAGAACAAGGTTATAACTATAGAGCGGATTTTTAGGTTCTTGAAAGCTTAAAATATGATGCAAATATGCTCTAAAAAAACCCTAAAATAATCTCTAAATATTCCTTAAACTTGTAAATATGCAATAGTATGATTTTTTTTTTCTTAAATGGTTCAATAAAAACATTAAATACTGTTATGGGCCATTCCTTTGGTAACATGTAAAATATTTAAATATAAAAATTTAAAACAGTTCATAGGTACATAGGATTATAAATATAATAAAATTATATAAAAAAACAAAATATTTAAATAAAAACAATGAACAACTTGTATGTACCATCAGGAGCGGATCAACAGTTGGAAAACTGTGGGTTAGGCTATTTCAGGCCACTTATAAGGTCTGAAACTGAATTATAAGTATGTACCTTGTTATAAAAAAAACACACTATGGCAATATAATATGTGTTTTCAAGTTTATTCATAGTTATCATTGAAAAAATTAAAATTTATTATATTTTGTGGAGTCTTACTGAGGTTAGTTAGTCTTACATGAGGTGCGGTATAAAAGCGATTTACTGTATTATACAATTAAACAATTAAAGTTATTTAGGGGAAGGGGTGGAAACTGGGGCATTCGGCCTAGTATGGTATTAACTTCAGCCAATCCACTTAAAAAATATGAGAAGTCTTCAAGAGGCCAATTTTGTCGACAACTATTAACTGTGGGTTAGCTGACCTGAACCCACTCCTAGATCCGCCCCTGTGTACCATTCTTTGGTAAAAGATAAATTATTTAAATAGAAAAATGGATAACATACATATATAAAAATATAATATAATGATATCATAGATAATAAAGAATTTATTATCTATGGATGATATTGATAAGGAGTTTTGCAGCTATCCCACGTCCCTTTTTTCCTACTACCTCGGTAAATTTTAATTCCATTTGGAGCAAAGTAGGATTTTTAATATATTAATTACTATTTAAATCCATTGCAGCATAAAATCAAATTATCACAGAATCGAAACCGATTTATCGTTGTTTTGTTGAAGTTATTCAGCGTTGAGCGTTGAATAATTTTTGTGATATCCATGATGTCGATGTAAAAAATAAAATGTCATTTTCAATCGACTTTTGTGTAATAAATTATAAATTTTTTACGTTACATTTTAAAAAAGCTTTAAAATAGTCAATCTTCTTACCAATGCATAATAAAAACGATAATTTACCAGAAATGGTTAATCCTATTCACAGTAAGTACCTAATTAGAAATCACAGGTAATATGTTTATTCCTTTTAATTGAAAAATTTAATTTTTTTCTTAATTTAATTTTGTAAAATAAAGATGAAATTATTTTGGTTTGACAAAAAAATCTTGAAAATATATATATTTTTCCATGACTACCTAATTAAAAAATAATTTTGAATTTTTTAATGTGGGTATAATATTTTAATAATTTAATTTACCAATGTAATTGAAGTTATGAAAAAAAAATATTTTTTTTGTGCTTTCAATTTTAGATTATTCTTTACTATGTTTACTATTTATTTTATTATATTACCTAATTTTACTGAACTACCAATCTTTTGGAAAGTAAATAATAAATAAACTAGGAAAAAATCTAAAAAAAATATGTAAAAAACTACGTGGGCGCTAATATATGATAATAATGAAAAATTATTGAAATTATCCAATAATAAGCAAATTATATAAATGTTTATAACATGTCCAATCACTTATAGCTAAGTTCATTCTTATTTTATTCAAACATTGTTTAAATTTATATTAAATTGTTTATTACTGTTTTAAACAGTTAAAAAAACAGTATTTTAAACCAGCGGTTCTTAATCTGTGGTCCGCGGCCCTCTAGGGGTCCGCGATAATCATGTAGGGGGTCCGTGGCAGCTCTAACACATAACATACATCAATACATGACATGAGTGCATTATTATAATATTGTTGGATTAATATTATTATTATTTTTTTTCATATATTTTTGATTGTATACCTAATAGATTTTATCATTATACGATATTATAAAATTTGTGTCTTAGTTATCGTATAAATCTAATAAAAATTAAATGTTAAGAATATTAAAAAAATAAATTAAAACTAAAATAATTAAATTTAAGTTGATTGAAAAATTATGTCAAATAAAAATAATTATAAATATGTATGTTTTGTTAATAAAATTATTTAAAATATTAGGTATTTGGAATTCATCATCTTACCCATATTGTGGGGTATGTTGACATTTTTCCAGGTTAAGCTTAAGTCTTACTCAGATCGTCAATTTACACAATTCAACAATACATATTTTTTTCGTAATTCATATTTCTCTGGCTGTGAGAATTTGTATGAGAAAATTGTTGAAACTAACGTTGAAAAATTACGTTACGATTTTATTATAACAGTATTAGTTTATGGATGGATAATAAATGTTAATAAAGTTTATCAAAGTATAACGATTATAATACATTATACTACGATATAAAGATTGATTTTAATCATAACTCCTTTATCGTCGTCAATACCATAGTCTATATGTGTATACCTAATTATATGTAACTACCTTTAAACATATAGCATATAGTTGTGTTAGTTAAAAAGTAGTATTTCATAATATTTTGTACACAAACGAGTACCAGGTTTTAACTTAAAAATTTTAAAATATGCTTAGACTAGTTGCAGTCGTGTTAAATACATAATAATGTTTCTTTTTTATAAGAATCTTGATTATAAATATTGATTATTAATATCACGAACTAATGATTATTTCAATACAATGATTCAAATAACTATCGCTATAAAATGAAATTATCAGTGTAAATGTAGGTAGGTATCTAATAAAGAATTTCAATAAATATACACATAATTTTTTTCAAAAACTCGATGCAGAAGCGTATTCAGAAATTTTAGGGGTGGGAGCTGATAAAAAATCATTTAAAATACGAAATATGCTATAACAATAAGAAAAACCATAGAATAAAGAATACAGAAACAAAATATTAAAAAAAAATTTAATATAAATGTTTTTCTCAATTTATTATGATAGTGTTACAGCATTGAACATTTAATAATATAGATACATAGTATGTTATAGAAAACAAAAAAATATTTAAATTGTATGGTTATATTAAATATGAAATTAGGAAATAATTATTATGATACATAATATTATGTAGAGAATTCAGAGTTAGATAATATATTGTACACGCCTAGCCCGCCCACTGTTGGTAAACTTATTACAAAAAAAAAAACTTATTATTGGACCTTATTATAGGTTTTGATCGATCTAGATTCGATAACGACTAAATTTCTTATGCGTCTTATTCTGAATTACTTATTTACTAATGATTTTACATATTATTACATATAAATTATATTTATTTTGAATAAAATTATTATAGGTTTTATAATAGTCGTCTTTTCGGGATTAGAAACTTGTTTAATTGTTTATAGAGCTTATACCTACTAAATAAGCACTCGGGGTCTCAAAAAGGGGGGGGGGGCTGATGGACTTTGAGGCTATTTTAAGGGCCCGTGGGCCCGTTGAAATTTATTTGTAATTTTTGAAATTTTAGTGGAAATACTTATTTACATTAAATAATATTGTAAAATAATATTATATATTTAGTTATTTTGATAGTTCAAAATGCGGATTAACCAATGATTAGGTACCTAGAAATGAATGGATTGGCTTCGACAATCAATTTTGACGATATAATTTCTAAGTTTGCTGAGCTCAAACCCACAAATAAAATTTTAACTTAAAAAAAATATATTAAATATAAATTAAAATATACTTGTTTTCTCTTTTTTAATTTAAAATAATATTGTAATAAAAAATAAAATAGACATTATTAATGTTGAAATACTTAAGAATCTTGAATTTGAATTGGTATAATGAAAAAAAAATATTATTCCTAAAATTGTTATATATATATTTATATATATATATATATATATATGTATAGTAAATTGTTTTTTTAGAAGTTTTATAAAGGGCCCGGACAAACATTTAGTGTAGGGGCCCGAAATTGTATGTGGGGGCCCTATAAGCATCATTTCTTATTGTCGTTTACTAAAATATAATATTTTATTCAACCATTAAATCACTAAATTAGTTTCGGCGTAACGGGAATCTTATAATAACAAAATTTGGGCAAGATAAGCAATCTTTTAACAGTTAATTAGTTATTTTTTGGAATTTGTAGTTAATGTATTTTTGACTGATGTAAAATCATATACTGTAAACATTATGACGTTATTTAATTTTACGTAAATTTAAGTGGTTTAAATATTTTTGAAATAAATTGTTTTTAAAAAAAACTATAAGAGCATAAGCGTAATTAGGGAAGGGGCGTGGTTAAGTTTTTAGCTTCCCTGAGTTCTAATGTAGCACTCTCTTTTTTTTTTAGATCTATATAATCTATAATAATTACAGTGAAATACCATTCAATCTTTAGTTGCATCCATGTATAAGAGCATATTTTTAGTGCATATTATAGGGTTTTTAAATGCACAAGTGCTTGTTTATTTAGTACTTTTTTAGAGCTACAAGTCATCTGCCCTAGTGATGAGAGATAGTCATATATTGATTTATAATAAAGATAAAATAATCATCCTTTGACGTTTTTCCGTAGATTTTAACAACACTGATGCCATAATATATGCCATAACTGGGAACCGTTGAATTAACATTGAACGATGTAAAATTATTTTTGTTTAAATTCAAATGTTAGGTACAAAATTAATTCAAGTGTCAAATGTCGTGTATAGTGGTTTTCAACCTATTTAACAATGCGGCACACTTCATCTCCAACAACATTTTTGCAGCATTCCAAATCCATATATTATGTGAACCATATTTTATATATATATATGTACACTAGTTACAGTATAATCTATTAGAGGGTTATTTATTGCGAAATATATTAATTCAATTGATCGATTGACACGGCTGCCACGGGCTTACTTACAATAAGTAATATTATATGTATCTACGATTAGTTCGATCAGTTTTCATTGAATATCGATAATGTCGTACACGCACTTTTTAGTTGTATATTTCTATTTCTATTTATCTAATTAAAAACCATGAATTAACTTGTTTCAGTTTAGTCTTCAATTTTAGATAGTAAAATGATATAGTACTACCTTTGTCCTCAACAACCATAAATTAATCGGTTTCAGATCGGACTCAAATGTACCAGGTGACACCAAATATATATATTCAATCTAATTAGTTAAAAACCCTTTTTTTAAATAATTTTAAAAAAAAACCACTTTAAAAACACACACACATAAACAGATAAAAACAATCCAATGTATATTATAGTACTGACGTATCACGACTCCTCACCTCTCTATTTTCTTTTGCCTTTTATCTAGTCTACAATTTAGCTGCCTTAGCACATTTGCTTCACTGGCCTACATTACAAATATGCTTTTTAACTTGTTTATAGTTGCCATCTATTACTACACTCCCCTATGTTAATTAAAAATATGCCCTCTTATTTTATACATTTAACCTTATTACAATTAAAATTTATATGACTACATATGTAATATAATATATACAGTGTTTACAAATAAGAACAATTCTGAATTATAGCAATTGGGGTGTAAGGATATGGTTTTTGTACACAAGGGTTCTATCTATACCTATTTTTTTTTTTTTTTTATTTAAGATTTGGTATATTTTGAATTGGGATTAAATTTACAATTTTTCCGAAACCTTTTCTGATCTTTTCGTCTATTTTTTATTTTTTGTGTTGTTCTTCTTTAGTTGTCTCCCATGTTTGTTAATGTTGAACGGTTTTTCATTATTTTTTAATTTTTCTATATTGAATTCAATTTTTCTTATTGTTTTAATTTTTTGATCTTATTCATATATTTTTTGTTGTCTGACATCTGAAATGTTTATAGCATGATATTAATGTTTTAAAGTGCGTTGATTTTGTTTTACTTGTTTTTTTTTTTTGTACATTTTTATAACGATTTAGATGTTTAGAGTAGGTGCACATTTTTTTTTTTTGTTTTTGGGATGCTAGGTATGGAATACAATGTAAATGGAAAGGGAATAAATTAAATTGTGCATTTTGTGAATTTGGTTTTTAAGGGATGTCTTGAATAAATTCTTTCTGCTATTGTTATCTTGTGATCCTGGTTACGGTGTCTTGTTTTTGTTGGTGTTTTGTCGATGATACACAATATATTACAATAAGTCATACATTACATTACATTTTTTTTTTTTTATATAAATATAATATATTACTTTTTTTTTCTATTAAAATAAATAAATATAATTTTATATGTACATAATATTTTATTAATATGTTTTTTATTCACTACTTGGTGGACTAGGTGATTTTTTTTCATTAGATGTTGGCAGGGCCGGATTTAGAATTTGTAGGCCCCTAAGTTCAATTGTGGTGTGGGCCCTACTATAATGTTTTTAGAAAATAGAAAGGGTATACACACAAATAGATAAACTAAGCCATCTTTAAAGCATTTTCAAATAATTTTCTACCCAAAATCGAGGATAGTGCAACTTTCTAACTTATAGTTTTTTGACCGAAAGTAATAACATTTAAAATATAGTATATTAAAGTGTGGATTCAATTACCACATAGTAGTTAAAAAAGGTATTCAACGCTCTTTATTAATATTACAACGGTAGTAACTAGTAATTAAATTCACAACATAATAATTAAAATACAGCTTAATAAATAATAACAATTTAATTTAAAGGTTTAAACTTTAGTTTACGTCTTAACTTTGTATTAATGAAATCACTTATAATATTTTCATAATTTATTTGTCTTAAAATGTCACTCTCAATGCTAAGTAAAGCTAACGTGTTGAGCCTTTCTTCTGTCATGGATGTTCAGAGACGGTTTTTTGATCAACTTTAATTTTGAAAAAGATCTTTCTCCGCTGCTGTTGGTGACCATAAGTGACAGGTACATTCTTAAAGCTACCTCAATATTAGGAAATTTTTTTCGATTAGAAGCTGGTACATCCATCTTTCCCGAGATATAACTTTATCATTTTTTCCATCATCATCTTTTAGAAACTCTTGGTAAAAAGCCTTGAATTGAATTAGTTCATTCCTAATTGATCGTCCAAGTCATTATCATATAATTTTTTCTAAATTTTGAGCTGCTATAATTATCTTTTTATCATCAAGTATATCCAACTTATAAAGAAACCCAAAACGGTTATCAACTAGTTCATATGCTTCAAGTCTTTGTTGCAATGAAGATTCAAGTTGATCTATTACAGAGAGAAAACTCTGAATTCAAAATTTGTTTGAAGAGCTCATCTCAATTTCTAGTGTTTGGACACTATCAAGAGGGGACAAACGTACATTTATTTTACGTTTACCCTGTGTTTCACTGTCGTACTCAACAAAATCATCCAACTCTGAAACTTTCACAAAATATCCTTCAAAGCTATCTCGTGTTGTTCCTATAAAGCTTCTTAGCGATTTCAGTGCTAAAACAGCTGTGTTCACATCTAATCTAGGATTATGTAAAGTTTCACTAATTTTGTTTACTTGTCCCAAGATATCATTCTAAAATACCGCGTAGAGGCCTGTCTATATCTTTAACATTTTGTTATATAAACTTAAAGCAACAATACGTGATTTTCCTAATTCTTCTTTATTCTCAGAAATTTCTAAAAGTGCATTTTTTATTTTTTTATAGCCACGTAAGAGGGCTTTTGTAGCATCTGCTCTGCATGACCAACATGTTGTTTTTGTCTTTTTTGGTATAAGAATGGGGTTTTCAGTTTCTGCTCTTTTTAAACAATTTGTAAGAACTTTATACCTTTTAGTCGAGACAGTGAAATATACATAAAGTTCTTTTAAAAAGTTGAAAAAGCTCACAGCACTCAGCAGCAGCTTGCACTACGAGATTGAGTGAGTGCCCTGCGCAAGGTACCCATAATGCCAAGTTATTTTTTGCCAGTACTAATGCTTAAAGGCCATTATACTTTCCACTCATTGAAGAAGCATTGTCGTATGACTGACCACGATAGTTTTTTATGTCCAAGTTATTTTCTTTCAAAAATGTGTCTAAGCCTTTAAACATATCCTTTGCTTTGTGGCCTTGGTTAAGCATGAATGCCACAAATCTTTCAACAGGAATATTTTCTTCTAAATACCTGAAAATCAAAGTAAGATGATCAACGTGACCTTCGTCTGGAGTTGAGTCCAATGATATGGAATAGTACTTTGAGTGTTTGATTCGAGAAATAATTACCTGCAGGCAGACGGCAAACAATGTAGACAATTCTTTATAAACAGCGTCCAGCGATCAAAGTTGCAAATGACGATATTGTCATAAATAATAATAATATAATAATTTTGCCCATAGACGTGTTTACGTATGAGTCGTTAATGTCAATGATGAAACAAGAAACGGTTCGGTCGGGGAACGAATTAATAATAACAGCAAAAAAAAAAACTAAACGTTATCGTGCGATAATCAGAGTCTATTGATAACTTAACGCACTATTGGCGACTACATTACGAAAATAGTGATCGCATCTCGTACCGACGCGCGACGTGGTGTATGGGAAATTCCCATTATATTTGTACACACTACAGTCTACACACTACATAGTATATTTTATTACACAACACCAATTTTAGAAAACTGAAAAAGAATGAAAAATATTTAACACGTTCAATGCCACGGTCGACACGTAGTCGACAACTGTCACACGGTCTCAGGGACCGCTGTCGACGCGTAGTCGACAAATGTTATGTATATCTTTATGGGTGTATTATTTGATCGGTTATAGACGCAATGTTTCAATATTTTTTATGTGGTTATTCAGTAGGATGTCGTGATTTCAATGGTATATTTGGATTTTGCGTAGCTATTTTTAGCGAGTTTTAATTAATTTTTTCCCGAATGATGACGACGGCGACGGCAATACCGATTACGCGGCTGTGCTATTTCCGATAATATATTGATATCATATTATTTTCGTTGTTAATAATATTCTGACGAAATAGTATTAGTTTATTTTAATAATCTACAGAGTGTATCTTGCTCGGATGTATAATAACAATAAATGTACCTATATTTATGTTCGCATACTATGGTACACTCTACATTCATATTTTTACATAATTATAATTAATTTAATATTATGTTAATGATTCGTTTTATTTTCCAAAAATTAAAAATCTGTTTATTTTTTAACAGCTAATATTATACGTAAATAATTTTGTTTTTCATGTAAATTTTGTATTTATTACATTTTATTGATTGTTTTTTTTAAAATTTTAAAATTAATTAGTGTGGCAATAAATTATTGATTACTTTTTAAAAAAATAACCTTGATAATATAGTATATATTCGTACAGAAAATAATTTTTTTTATAATATTTAAATAACAATTTTACGGTGCACGGCGCGCGGAACCGGTGTCGACACGTAGTCGACCGACGGCGTCGCGGCTCAGTTTTGGCGCGGAAACTTACTATATGCGCATCATAAATACACTGGCACTCAACGTGTTAAACGGATTTTTTTTTTTTTTTTTAGTTGTATGATGGCGTGGTGAGGGCCCTGTTGTGGTGCGGGCCCATAAGCTACAGCCTATATAGCCGACGCTTAAATCCGGCCCTGGATGTTGGTCATGAACTTAAATAATCAAGATTAATCTTTGGAACGTTTTCCCAGAGATTAAAGGTATTGGTTGTAGCAGTCCGTTGCTTTTACTTGAAGATTTTTTGTAAAGTTGACATGATGTGCATGTCTTTATAAATGAATAGGTGTCTTGTATAATGGTTGGCCAGTAATATTTTTCTTTTAATTTTGATAATGTTTTTGTAATACCAAAGTGTGCTGAAAAAACGGATTCATTATAGGACTTTAAAACAGTATTTATCAAAGTAGTTGGAATAGCTAATAAATGTTTTATGCCACGTGGTAACCAATTTTTGAAGTATAGTAGTTTGTCTTTAATAATATATTTTCTGAATTTTTTATAATATTAATTTTTTGTATCTCCTGATAAAGATTAAATTATGTTTTTACAATATACGTCTTTTGACTGTAATGTTCTCAATGTATTAAGTTGAATTGCGTCAAAATCAATTTTGTCTGAATTTCCTTTGTCGTCGTCATCTTCTAATATATCAGATATTTTTGTTATATTAACGGGGTAGCGTAAGAAACAGTCAGCAACAGTGTTCCATGAGCCTGGGTGATGTTTAATTTCAAAATCGTATTCTAATAGTTTAAAAATAAATTTGGTAATACGAGATAGTGGATTTTTCATGCTTTTATAATACTGTAGGCTAGAAAGATCGCTATATACTGTTATTTTTCTTCCTAAAAGATATTCTCTGAAGTGGTTTGTTGAAAATACTACAGTTGACATCTCCAATTCTGTTGTTATGTAATTATTTTCACCTCCTTTTAATTTCCTAGACGCATAGGCTATAGGGTGTTTTAACGTTTTTTGTCTTCTTGCTACCAGACAATCGTTCTAACGAAGCGTTAGTAGTTACAAAAATTGGGTACTCATCTTTGAAATGTGCAAGAACTGGTGCTGTAGTTATGGCTTTTTTAAAATATCAAATGCTTCTTCCTATTCTTTTCCCCAACTAAATTTATTATCCTTTTTTGTTAGGCTTGTCAAAAGACTTGCTATTTTTGTGACATTTTTAATGTATTTCCTATAATAACTTGTGGGTCCAATAAAGGCTCTTATGTCATTTATCTTATTTGGAGTCGGAAATGAAGTAATCGCTTTTATTTTTTTTGTAATGATTTAATTCCAAAGTTTGATACTGAGTTTCCAAGTAATTCAATATTTTAGCTAAAGAAATTGCATTTATTTGTCTTCAATTTTAGATCAGTTTCTTCCAGTCTAATAAATATATCTTTTGAATTAGAGTTTCTCAACAATTTTTTCCGAAACCACATAAATCGTTAAGATAGGCTATCATTGTTCTGTATACGAATTTTTTGTCATCTAAATTGAGCATTTTAAGTCGATGCATTTATTTAAATTTACAAGAATCCTTATAAAGATAAATAAACTAATTTTCATGCGTCATAAGACACCTAATATTATAATATGTATTAAATAAAAAAAAATAGGCTCTAAATATCTATATGTAATAGACTCTATGACTATTGAATAAAATTACCGAGATATTACGCGGACACATAAAATTAGTACATTTTCCCTGGAAAAATTATAAAAGTATTAAATATTTATTCTATATAGAGAATTTTAAAACTATTTTCAGCCTTATCATTATCAATCATCTTTGCTAAAACTTTTTCAGTCAATTACAGGTAATTTACTAAAATTATTAATTCATTTCAACGCATATTAATTATTTAATTTATTATATTCTGTATCGTTTCATGCAGGGGCGTCATTTGGTATAAAACTATAGGGTAGCAATATTAGTAACCCAGAAGGTTGAGGGCTAATGAGCTTAAACCCACTCCCACCCCCTTCCATATTGACTGTGTAAATTCTAAAAAAAAAAATGACATCTATCAAAATTTAACACTTTGAACGTTAAATAAATAATACACAATAACATATGACATATTGAGCATAATTTACATAATTGACCTCTAGAATACGTGTCCTTAGAAGGATAAGTCCTAGTAAATTGTTCATAAGAGTTGATAAAAATACAAAAATCAACAATCAGTTACTAAGTGGTATTTTGATTTTATATATATATATGTAGATAGATTAAGATTATATTTGATTAATTTCTTAAAAAAGCAATAAAATGTTACATAAATTTCTCGTGGGGTGTCATAGCTATTTATTTACTACCCCAATAAAAAGGGGGGTAGTAATGGCTACCCCTCGCTACCTAGTAATGACGCCTATGGTTTCATGTACATTTCATATTCTTGGATCAACTTAAAAAAAAAAAAGTAATTGTATAATATATGTAAATGAATTCATCGACATGGCGATATTCATTCACAATATTTTCGTAGGCTATTACGTTGTCCAACAAATGGTTTGGAAAACGTTGGGGCTCTCCAAGTCCATTTGATTTTCGCCGTAAAATTTAGGTAGGATATCGATTATAAAAATAATGGTTTATTAAACGAAAAGAAACTAAGACCAATAAAAACATTGTCGTATCCATCAATGCCAAAAAGCGGTTTACATCCGTTTATTGATCAAAAAAAATAAATAAAAAAATATGTTACAATAAACACTTGAAGTAATCCAGAGTTCAAGGTACAGTGCATTGTTGTCAGTAAAATATTATGTAGGGCTAAATTAATTATGACGTAAATAGCGAGCGAATCCTTACTGCCGCCAAACACCCTAAGTGACCTTCCCTGTCCACGATTACGAATATAAATTGTTTGGCGCTAAAGCAAAATACAACGTTACAATAATAGATATACCTCGGGCTGAATACTGGTGTCTCGTGTTTGCATACACGTGTTATTGAAACTATTTAGCGTGCGAGTAATTTACATCACGTACTCGTATATAAGCAGTTCGAGTACGGTTAATTTGTGCGTTATGTTAGTCACATTTGACAATCCTCGAAACCCTTAAGTACAACTGTTATTCATTACAAACGTTCATACTTTATTAACGTATTTTTACGACATTTCAATAATTCCAATCGATAAGACTAACGTCTCCCATAGCATTTCATTTGGAAATATTACGTTCTTAACTATGATTCGATTATTTTAATGCGTTAAAAAACCAATGAACGCAGGGGTAGTAAAGTACGTAAACTATATTCTTTAGATTGACTTTTAAAATGGTATGGTCTAGTATTAGACGATCGGTAGTTACGCAACTGTGCAACGTTGTTGAACTTTAAAAAGTACCCATTCACGATAATATTTTATACCTCTGTGTTTTTTATGAAAATCGGACGAAATGAATTTCCTTAAGCCGTAAACTCGAGAATATCATTTATTTCTCGACTTTCAATGAATCTACTTAGTATTCATATATTTGTTTAGTTTCTAAGTATTTATTTTTTTTCTATATATTTTCCCATGTTATTATTGATCAAATATCACCAAAAGCTAAAAAAATAATTATATTTTTATAAATAAAATAAAACCATGTTTATAATTGATAACATTAAAAACCGACAATTTAATTTATGCCCAATTATTATTTTTATCTATACGTTATAAAAAATAGATTAGTTTTTACCCATATTAAATGAATTATCAACAACTAATGGTAATACATTTTGAAATTTGGTAATCTATAGAAAAATCATTGTTATATTTAAATTCATGTTTATTTGTTCAGTATAATTTAATCTAATTTAATAAGTCACATAATTATCATTTTCTTTGGATTTATTTACATTAAATTATAATTATAGATTATAAATAGTTAAAAAAAAATTTTATTTTACGTAAATAACAAATGATAATAAGAAATGATAACCACTCACGGAAAACGGAAAAAATATAATTTTTATTCATAATTAATAAAAAAAAAATATATTTTTTTTTTATAAAAATTAGTTGTCCGTGAGTGGTTATCATTTATTATTATCATTTATTATTTCTGTAAAAAAAAATTGTATTTTTTTATTACGTTTGAAAATTAAATCGATAGTTGGACACAAACGAAATATTCAATTGACCTTAAGCGAAAACAGGTCTGTCCTCATTTTCAAATGTTACTTCTGTATTTATTTAAATGTAATTTGTTATTTATTTGATTTATACTAATATTGTTAAGTTTTTAAGTTGTTACAAAATGTATTCTTAACAAATAAATAATGTTTTACAAGCAGTTGAATTGTGTATAGATTGCAAAATATTGATCACAGTTGTATTACAACAATATTTCCTTATAATAATTATTCGAAACAATAATTAAAGAGTGAATTCGTATTTAAAAAACAATTAATATACTCTTATACTCGTAAAGATGCGTTAACAATAATTAAGTGAGAAGTTATGCATTCAATTATTTTGACTTTTAGTTAAAGCTTAAACTCTAAAAGTACTTTTTAATTTATTTATTATGAATAAATGTGCAACAATGTTTAATGTTCGACTAATACATTAAAAATATAATTACATAATTTTAAAGCAATTAATTTAAAAATATTAGAAGTGAAACTGAAACATAAGCAATAGCAATTATGAACTGGTGCGGACGTCAAATAATATATCTCTTCCCACGAAACAAAAAACCCACGTGATATGCATCGTCCCTTAGAAGTTGGATTATATGGCTATATACATATATTATTAGTATAATACATTATGTATATAATGTACAGTATTTAAATTAATTGGAAAGTCAGTAGTTATTACTTCTAATATAATGCAGATATTGAAGTTCCGTTTTTTTAACATAATATGTAACTTATAGCCCATCTTTTTCCACGGTTTAAAAAAATCCAAAACTTAAAACCACCAAAAAAATTTTTTCGAAAAATTTCGAAAATAGCTAATTTGTAAAATTACTTATGAATTACTTAGAGAAAAAAAAAATTTGAAATCGGTTGAATTTTGAATGAATGAGAACTCAAAAATAATCAACAAAAAACAAAAATATTAATGAGTTGTGTGTACTTCATTACATAATATCATATTATTATTTATCTATTTAAAAATTTAAAAAACATACAATTTTAAAATTTTTTGGGTTTTTTGAAAATATTCATTCATTCAAAAAAATTATTTTTTTTTCAATAAATATAAAAATAAATATAAAAATTCATTCAAGATTTTCATTCATTCTCCTAAGTGGCTATTTTCGAAATTTTTGGCGGTTTTGAACTTTAGATTTTTTTTAACCGTGGAAAAAGATGGGCTATAAGTTACATATTATGTTAAAAAAACGGAACTTCAATATCTGCATTATATTAGAAGTAATAACTACTGACTTTCCAAATAATTTATATACTGTATTGTATAATAATATAGTATAATATTATACTAATACGAATCCCTTGATATGAATTATAATTTTTTTTTAACACTGAATTACATGGATCGATTATTTAACATATGTTAATTTAGTTATAGATATATTTACATATTATAATTATGTCGCATTCAAACGCATATAAAACATTCTTATAAAAATATCAAAAAGTTCGATGATTATAGAAAGGTTTTTTTTTTACACTTACAGTTAAATTTCAATAATCATAATGTTATTTTTTATACACTCAATCGTTATTTTTATGATATAAAAAAATAAATTAAATATATATTTAAGCAATATTTTTACGAGCGATAAAACGAAAAGTATTCACTAAGTATCACAGGTTTTGAACGTTTTGAATATTATTTTTTTTTACTCGCATAAGTGTTAATATAATACATCAACAATTCCGAAAATTTAAAAAAACAAAAAAAAGGAAAAAAAATTACACAATCGATGGGTCCTTCATTCATTGCCCTTCCTCCTCGCTCACTTCATCACTATATTTCTATAAATATACACAATTAACAGTAGCTGCTAAACGATCATTCGCTAAACATTTATAGATGTTATGCAGACCAGTAGTACTCAACATTTTTATATCATAGCGTATACCAGCTTTACTGATTTTGAAAATATTCACATACCTATCCTTTAACCTAATATAACTTTTTTTCGTCTCGCTCACCAATTTTCACGTTGTATTACGTAAGAACGAAAACCGAGATTTTCTTCGCGTTCAACCCATGACCTCTACCGTGTACTGCCGGTTGAGAAACGCCGTTATAGATTCTAAATAGTATTATGTAGTCCTCAAAGGGACCCATAGTTTAACAATTCGTCGCGCTACTTTGCCATAGGTACGTAAGTTCGTGTTTACGCTCAGACGCCGTCATGCGGTTGTTCGGATTAGTCATTCGGCGACGGGAATAGTTCAAACCGCGAGATGGAGAAATTTAAAAGCTTTTAATTTATTTTATTTTATATTATTTATTTATTTATTTTTTTTTATCGCAGTATACATTCCAGTGTTTTGTTTTTTGCTATTATTATTTAGTTTTTTTTGTCGTATAAATATCTTGTGTCTCGATACTCGCATCGTTCTGCGTACGTATATAAATATAAATTGATATTATTAGTGTAACAATAACACGTTGATAGTTATGTGTCTGATGTACCTGCTAATATTAAAAGTTTGAAACACCGAATATTTAGAATAAATTCAAAAGTAGATACGGTAGTACCTTCTTCGTCGTATACGGTATTTGATGGATTGGCCGAGATCGTGTTAAAGTATACACTTGAGTTAAGTAAAAACGAAATTAATTAACAAATACAATTGTTTAAATACTATGTTTATCAAGTATAAAATATACATTCACAGTATTTCCTAACCGTTTTATTTTTTTTTTTTTTTAATACAATAAAAACAACAATGGAATCATTTTTTTGGACTAGGTTGACTTCGTTTATTATAAACACAACTTAATAAATGAATTACATTTATTTTCTTCTTTTGTATATTTTATGCATTCTCAGGATCTAGAACTGCGTACAATCTTATCTCCAATACCAGTATTTACCTTTGTTACCAATTTTTTCATTATATTTATTCATTAATAACTATTAATTTAACTATCACATAACGATGCTGTATATATTATTATGTGGATTAAACTTATAAATTTTGGAAGAGATTAAGGTTTCTATATATTTTATATATTCTTTAAATAAGCCACTATTCCAGTTAGATAACTAACCTAAATTAAATTTAAGCTTAAAACATTTGATTTAGTATATATATTTTAAAAATAATAGTGCAAGAAAATAACGAGTACACAACAATCTATATTACAAACAAGAATATGTATATTATTTCATTAAGGAAATCAAAAGCTATCGATAGAACTTAATTATGTCTGGTGTGGTATACCTTTTTTATAATATTTTTGAATATAGTTTTGTTTATGGGAGTAATTTTATTTAAAAATCAATGTTTTTAATTTTTTTTTTATATTAACATTTATTTTTTACTTTTTATATTAATTTTAATAGAACAAAATATCTTCACATGTAATGTGTAGGTTTCAAACATTTTTCTAATGAAACAATTGCTATTACAGCAATTTTTAATTTAATTTTATCATAATAAACGTATAAAAATTTTAATTTCAAATTAATCAATTTTTTTAAAAAAATAGAGTTATTATGTATCGTTTGTTATCAATTTTCAACGATTTCTGAAGAGCGTTTGTAATTTATTCTATTCATAATAATCACATTAAAATCAATTTTATAGTTTAAACTGTTTACTGTTTTCATTTTTTATAAACTAATATATTATTTATCCTTGATCAGTAGTCAGATTTTCGTTATAGCCCACACGGCTATGTTTTATCTAAAAGGAAAGTAAAGAAAATAATAGTACAATGTTTTGTTACTACACTAAGCGCGCATTGTATTTATACTTTAACACTTTGAATAACATCTGAGGTCGAACTGGCAATACTTGTATAATAATAATAACTTAAGCCATGACAATGTATCAACAAAGTGATTTGACACTACGGGTTGTTGAATTTAAATGATTCGTGAAAAAACATAAAGGATATTCGAGCAGTCGATATCAATTTTCTTTTAGTTTATTGTCAAAAAACTGACAGAAACGGTACGCGAAATCAACCCAGTATTGATTATTTATTTATAATATATACTTCAAAAGTCAAACACGTACTAAACGAGGATACGTGAGCATATAATGTATTTGATAATAGTTGTGAATACAATTTTCCTTGGAAAAAAAAGAATACTTATCAGGACTGCTAGTTCGAAATTTAAAATAACTACCCTCAGCCATTCAAATAATTTAACTCTTTTGGAAAATTAAAAAATAAAAAACTGCTCACAAAGGTTGTTTTGGAAAAGGTTCATTTAGCTAAAATTCCCAAAGTCATGATATAAAATATGATTTTTTAAAACAAGCATTAAATTATGAGGATTTTAATTACTCGATTTATTGTGAATTTATTCATAAAAGAGTTTGATCGGTATTAAAAGTATAATGAGGTTTAATAAAAAAAATTAAAATTAATAGGGATCTAGAAGTAAATAAGTTTTAATAACATTTTAATTAAGAAATGATGTTGAATTCTTGTTGTACGACAACTCTTACGCATAATAATCTGTAAGAACAAACTGAACAGTTATTACCCATGTATACGAATTATCTGATAAAAGTAATCAAAATAGTCGTAAAAGGCTGATGGTGTATTACATGATTGCGTGACAAAGGTTCATTTTAGAAATCAAAATAACCAAAGAGGTATGCATTACGGCCACTACGTATAACAAGAAATTGCGTACCATAGGTACAACAAAATATATTATGTTGATGCCTGATAATACTTGTAATATTTAACAATTTAAAAGATAAATTTAAGGTTAATATATGTAATTGTTTTAGCAGTGTTATGTTTTTACCTGTAATTCAAGGTCATTCCCCTTTATACTTTAAAATAAACTAGCAGAAAAATGATATTTATAACTGCAGTTAAGACTTTTATTCAATTTTATTTGTGTTAAATACGACTTAGGCAGTGGCGTAAACTGGGTAGTGAAGATGTGGCACTTGCAACACCACATCTAAAATGTGGTGGTACAAAGATATGTTTTTGCACCACCAGAAAATCATTGAAATTTGTATACGTATAATATTATTTTCAAGAGCCAAGGAAATCAGCATACTAAAAACAAAATTTGATTGTTTTTTTTATTAATATTATAATAATAAAGGTTTTAATGCTAAAATAATTCAAAATTTATTTGTTATTTAAAGAAATATATGGGAAAATATATAGTTAATTGGGAAGAATTTTACTTAGTAAATTGGAAAATTGGTGAGAAACTATAAGTTGAGAATATGCCTCTGCACCACTAGAAATTGGATCTAATTTACGCCACTGGACTCCGGGTATATTATGTTATTATATTATATCATATTATGATAATTTGACGTAGTTTTGTACTAAAAAATGTGTTTTTTTTTCTATTTAAAAATTACTTAATCCGACTATTTTTATTAAGAAAATTCACTAAATTTGAAATAAACCGTTTACTAAATAATATATGCAATCATTAGTTTTAGTATCAAATATTTAGAATGCAGTATTTTAATTGTATATTGTTTTCTAACTCGTTGATCTTGAAATTATACGCTGGCATTGTTTTTTTCGTTTTATGACCGATACAAATACCCTATTATTTGAACATTAATAAAATATGACAATTTAACACTAAATTAAAAAACAATAATTTTAACTTTTAAAATCATTATCTAATTGTTAGTAGAATAATGTATTTATTGTCTATATGTTGATGTCAAGCCTTTTAGGGTGCAATAAATATTTCTGGCTCAGAGTCAACAATGAGTATTATTGTATATTGATTCAGTATGCTGGACGTGGAAGAAAAATGTATCAAATTAAACATAACATACGAACAGCCAAGATCACAGACACCCCAGAGAGAACAGAGAGAAGAATGGGGCAACAAACTAGATTTTTTATTTTCGTGCATAAGCGTATCTGTTGGTTTAGGGAATGTTTGGAGATTTCCATACTTATGCTACAAACACGGAGGAGGTGAGTAGTTATAATATTAATATATTTTCTAAATATAGCATTTTAAATTGACAGTTACTGGAACAGTACACTGCCCCCCTTTTGAATTACGTATATCTTGTAATGTCCTATAAGGGTTTTCAAAAAGAACTCAGGATTTAAATCTTTTATAAATTATGTTTATTTCTTTTAAAAAAACATAAAAAATATACCATTCTTTTCAGGAGAAGTTAAAATTTAATAGTGAAAAACAATATCGAGTATATGATCCTCCCTACTAGTCCTACATGCGATTATTCTTTCCATAAAATTGACCATCACTGTATAACATTGTCCCATCAAGTTCGTTGAGGACACAACGAATTTCTCGCTTAAGTTCCAAGACATTTCGAATTTTGTTCTGGTAAACTCGTGACTTAATGTATACCTATGAGAAAAAATCACTCGGCATCAAGTCGCAAGATCGAGATGGGTAGCTTTGGCTGCGCAACGAGATTAGTCTGTCCAGGAACTTTTCACGCAACAGAGGAATTGTTCCTCTTGAAGTGTAACAAGTTGCGCCGTTTTGTTGTATCCATACAAGAATACCTACTGAGTTCAGTAATTTTTTTTGGCTTTATTTTAATCAAATGAACATAAAAAATGTTTGGTTTCAACTTGTCACACTTCAAAATAAATAATCACTTTGCTGTGTGATACGTTCCTGAATTAAAAAAAAAAAAATTAGGTTAAGTGTTAACTTTAAAATTTTTAAAATGTTTTCCATAAACTTAACTGAGTTAAAAAGTATCATTAACTTGCTCTGTTAAATGTTATTTATAACAATTAAGGACTAATATTTTCCTATAATTTTTTTTTAATAAAACTAAATAAATTTCATGCTCTAAATAAAATATATCATTATACAACTGTGAGTGATTATTGACATTAATATAAGTTTTCAATGAATTTATTTAAAGTTAAAGAAATTTGAAAAAAAATTGAAAAAAAATTAAGATTTCATCAGAGAAAAAATCTATTTACTTTATTTTTCCCCCAACTATTATATTATATCTTGATTATAGAGTGTTTTAAATAGAAAAATATGTACATAAATATATGTAAAATAAGTGTAATATTTTTAGTACGTCATTCCCCTAAAAAGTATTTTAAAGTATCAACATATATTTGAACCAAAAGAATAATAATTAACAGCTATTATTAGATTTGGCAACTTTATCGAAACGTAACTGATTTACTTCATTGCCATTGTCAATCTAAAATTTACATAACGTTTATTTCATTTTATAATCTTTACTTGCAATAAATTGTTGAACAATAGTTCAATAATAAGTCAGATCAATTTGAAATATAAAACTGTCTATATACTAATTATATATATTTATATCTCATCTTAAGTTTTTCAATATCACATAATATCGTGAATAATGTTTCTAAACCACTTATAAATTTAAATACTAAAAAAAAAAACATACAATTTAGTATGTATAAATGTTTTATTACACTCTTTATATAATAATACTTTTATCAACTATTTAATGATATAATTAATAAAATAATGATTTTGATTTTACAATTGATTCATAATAATATTACTTTAAAAATACTTTTTTGAATGTAATTTGTATTACACTGTGGTAATGGAAAATATTAGAGCATGAACGCTTTTTATCGAAACTATAATAAAAGTGTTTTATTAAAACAGACAGGTAAATAATATAAATAAGCAATATTGATTTGAAAAGTTTTCCTTTTTGATAGACTATAAGAACTACGGCTATGATGATGATGACAGGTTTACTCGCGATTGCGTTTCTGCGTGTTATAATTAAATTTGAAAGCGATGAAATATTATCTAAGAACTATATTTTTTATAATTTATATGGATTTTTTTTCTAAAAAAAAAAAAAAAAAAGTTGTTTTATTTTAATAAAATATTTTTGAATATATTACGGCAAAAAATAATCTATGATATGAATGATTGTCATGCCAAACAATTATGCTCAAACTAACTAGTCAATATTCATGATATTAAAGGCATAAATTGAAGAAAAAATGTAAATAAAAAAAATTTTTTTAGGGGCATTTTTAGTAACTTACTTTATAGCCATGGTATTTTGTGGAATACCAATATTTTTTCAAGAAGTTGCAATCGGACAGTATTTGGGTTCTGGAGGAATGACGTTAGTCGGAAAACTGTGTCCAATACTTTCCGGTAAGATATTTTGCACTTCGGTTGTTGAATTTTGAATTTCGAATTTTTTTGAACATCGAATTTCATATTCGAAATTGATATTCTAAGTATAATATTATACGAGTGTATATCAATAAACATTTTATAGGTACAGGATATGCAACGATGACCATAGTTTTTTTGTTGGACGTATATTATTGTGTAATTGTGGCTTGGACATTTTTCTACTTGGCAAGTTGTTTTCTATCGTTTCCCGACTTACCATGGGAAAGCTGTAGTAAGATTAATCAATATAATATAGTTACTTCGGATACCTTTAATACGAACTAAAAATATTTATACGGCTTTGTGGAATGTTTCAGATAACTGGTGGAACACGGAAAATTGTCTTATGCCAACAAGTTTTAATAAGACTCGCGAGTATTTTAGTTCGGATACAATAATACGAATGTTTAATACCATGCCATCAATACTCAATAATAATTTAGAACCGTGGAACAAAGTAATTTTTAATAGATCGTATGCACCGAAGGAAGAGTTTTTTAAAAACAATAGTCAGTTCACGGATTTTTGCCACACTATTAAATTGTTGCCTATCGATGATTTGGAAAACTTCACTGGCATAGGAGATAACAATTCTTCTACCTCTATCTCGCAGGAAAATGGTAAATTATTTAATCAACTGCGCCAACACTGTATTAATGTTACAACAAAGACACCAGCTGAAGAATACTGGGAGTGCGTAAAATCCATTATATATTCTACTTCAATAACATTTTTTTTACCGGTTTTCATATATTTTTATAGGAGAAGAGTACTTATGCTGTCCAGTGGTATTGAAGATATCGGAGGTATGCAATGGGAACTCTTATTCCTATTAGGATTATCGTGGATATTGATCTACGTGATTTTGGGTAAAGGTCTCAGTCAAAGTGGAAAGGTACTAAAATATTTTTTAGTAAAACCAAAAATATATTACTCATGTCGAAAAGTTTATCATCTTAACGGTCACTAGATAGTGTGGTTCATAGCAATGTTTCCATATTTAATAATGGGATCATTGTTGATCAGAGCAGTGACATTGGAAGGTGCTGGCGAAGGTATCAGATATCTGATCACTCCACGATGGGAAAGTCTAATGAATTCAGATACTTGGATAGAAGGAACCACACAAATTTTCTTCGGCTACAGTGTAGGTGTAGGCACTTTACCGGCTCTTGGGTCATTCAATCAGTTTCATCACAATTGCTACAGGTAATTTTATTATTGCAGTAGGTATGAGATGGTATTCACAATTGTTTTGCAGGGATGCAGTTTTAACCTGTGTCATCAACACGCTCACGTCTATCATACCCAGTTTGATAACGTTTAGTATATTAGGTTTCATCGCTACTTTCCAGGGATCTACGGTCAATGATGTAGTGGAAAGTGGGCCGGGATTAGTATTTATAACTTATCCTCAAGTGGTGCTTCAATTGCCGGGAGCGAGGATATGGGCGATCATATTTTTCGTCATGCTCGCTGTAGGTATGGCTGCTTAATAACTTAAACGTGATTCTGTTTGATGCAAAATGTACAAGCATCCATTACGGGATTTGTTGCATTTAGATGATTGGCATTGATAGTGAATTTTGTAACGTCGAGTCGTTCATAACAGGACTGACTGATAAGTGGTCTAAATACTTGCATGCCAAACGAAAAACATTTACAATGTCGGTGTGCATGGGTATGTTTGTGTTGAGTTCGTCGATGGTGACCAATGTGAGTATAGGTTATTTAATTTTATAAAAAATTGTAATTATCAGTTGATAATACAGGTAATCCAGAAATTATTAGTATGTTAAGTAATATTAATTCAAAAGCACACATACTATTAATTACATAAACCAAAGTATATTTTTTTTAAGGGTGGAATGTATATTTTTCAACTTATGGATATGTATTCGGCTTCTGGAATATCGTTGCTTTGGGTATGCTTTTTTCAGACAGTAGCGATATCGTGGTTTTTCGGAGCCGACCGATTTCGCGAATGTATCAACCAGATGCTTGGTTTCCGACCAAATTTATTCTGGTATATATGTTGGGTATATCTCGCACCTTTTGTGATGATTGTAAGATTAAAATTTTGAATTTATTTCGAGATAACGGTGGTTAAAAGCCAAATCTAATATTTTTTAGACGGTATTTATATTTTACGTTATTAAATATGAGCCGGTGATGTATGGAACCCACTATAGATATCCGTGGTGGGGCGAAGGATTAGGAATCACGATATCTTTGATGTCCATGATCTGGATACCGTTGTATGCTGTATATTACTTAATGTCAGAACCGGGAACTTTAAAACAAGTAGGAACAATAAATGCTACCGACAATAGTACTATACTTCATTTAAAATATGTTAGTTTTGATAAAATAAAATTACTATTTTTTAGAAGCTTCAAAGAGGCTTAACACCCATTCCAGAAGTTCATTGCAGAATCAAGATAAAAAAAGAATCCAAGAACATAGTTGATAAAGGACTGCAACTAATGGAATGTAGCACTTTGGTTTACTGTGACAATAATGCTAGTAAAAATATATGAAACCAATTAGTATTATAGTTAACTATGTATATGATGTTAAATGTTCCATTATTATTACTCCAGAGGTATTATTTTTATTTATAAGTTTAAAATAGGTTATAGTAAAAATATTAAGACAATGATATAAAATTCTATTTTATTGCCATAAATAAGTTAAAAATTAGCAATCATTTTCTAAGATAAAGTAATTGTTTACCTTATGTCTAAAAATTGATTAGATACATATATTTATTGAAATATTGTTTGATAATGGTTTATTAGTTTTATCGATAGTTTGGAAAACGCTTTAAATAAACTATCAAAAATTACAAAAATCAGAGAAATATACAATCTATTAATTAAATATTCGATATACATACCTAGTTTGAAAGTAAAACAGTTGATGACTTTCAACTGATATATTTTTCAGTATTTAAGTAATATATAAATATTATAGTATAATATTATTATAGACATAGATGATCAGTGGTTTACAAACTGTTAAGTGCGCCTTTCTAGAAGCACAAGGCAAATATTTATTTACTATAATATATTTATTTTTAGATCGATAGTAATTTACTTATATTTAAATAATAAAATATTTTGTTTTATTTATTCATGAGAGGCGCGATTTAGTTTTTTTTGTTCTGGGGATACGTGACCCAAAAAAGTTTAAGAACCGTTGCATTAGATAGGTAGTTTTATTTTTTTTACTATGATTAGTAATCATTGATTGCTAAACATCTTTAGTCATTTTTTAAATTTTCAATATTTTAATATTTCTTTGATAAAATAAATCATGTCCTAGAAATAGTTAATTACTGTTTATGATAGAATTAAAATTATAGCGAATTACAATCTTTTAATATAATTTATCAATTTAAAACTTCTAGACTGATATATAGATTTTATTAAGTGGATTCAAGTATTATGATTCAATTGTATAAAAAACGCCTTGGAAGTATTCACAAACTAACATTTAACGAACATTTATAATTTGTGTATAGTTCTATAGTAAACCAAAATTTATTCAGCATCGTTATACAATAAAAATTAATGTTTCTGAATTTAAATACTCCAGTCTCAGAACTATCCAACTTCAGCATTTTTTTATTTAGTCTTTTGTACATTGAATTTATTATACAAATATAATTTATACAATTATTAAAGTATTTATTTTAATAAGACAACAATTTTAATTTTATTACATAATGTATATGGATGTATCCAGTGTACATTGTACACTTGTATAACTTGAAATATTTAACCGAAGTTTTTTTTTCAAAGATTATTTGCCATAATCATTGATTTTTGATTTAGAAAAAATATTATTACTCGAACAAATATTTACGATGTTCGTCTTATAATTATTATTATTAATATTTTTAAACAAAATGCGACTTAATAATAATAAATAATTAGTACCATTTATATAAATAACATATTAACAAATGCATACTGCCTTTGACACCTACTTTTTAGTTAAGTAGATAATGTCACTTCGGGATTATAAAATGGGATCAAAATAATTTAATGTTATGTGGTCATCCGAGGTTTGATAAATTGACAATATTTTTTTATGCATCTAGTTGATTATGATGAAACCAGAAGTGTATTGTTACGTATTCGCGGGTATCTGCCGTATACCTATCTGCAGATTTTTAATTTTTGGCGTATACCTAATTTAAAATATTATTTTACAGGTTTACGCTCCTAAAATAGCTTGTAAACTAAAAAATACTTATTTAATAGTTCAACGGAAAAAATTGTTATGAACTATGAAGTTTGAATGAAATATTTTTAAGTTGAAGATTACAGTGTAAAGTTTACAGTTTGATTACAATTTAATGTATTTTAAGTTCAATTAAGTAAATAACATTTTGAAAAATTGATGTTATTAAATATAATATAATGTATGGACTTTCAATAAATGTGCAGCAAGCAAGCAATTTGTAACGCATGCCAAATGTATATCCGGTGATGTTGTATTTTATATTCTTACTATAGTAAGAAAGCAACTTCTATAGAAGTTAAAACATGTAAGGGGCATAATTTAATTTAGTCGAGCTTAACGAGAAAAAAATTATCGAGCGAAGCGAGAACATTTTTTAGGATTAATATACATATTTTATTAGTGCGTACTTATAAATATATTTCCCGATACACCACTGGATGAAACTTATAAATTACAATATAATGTGTGTTAGCTAAACCATCTACGTAATATGTATACTCTTATAAATCGTTTTTTTTTATTAAACCATAATGATTCAGGTTATTGCTGTAGCAATTTAGCAATTAAATTATGAATTATTAAAAATCTTATACATTTATATTTCACTTCATATGCACTTCCGGTGAAGGTATAAGACTAAATTAAATATTAGTGTATTAATTACTAAAATAAGCTAGGTAAATTAAAAAAATTAAAATATTAAGTATTAACCTGGTAATAGCCGATCTGAAGATAAGAACTATTGCTCACTACTCATGACTTACTTCTCATTTGCAAAATGTATTTAACAATTTGAAGGACAATATACTAGATATAAAAAATAAAGTGAATTTAAGGAAAGTAGCTCGTTGGATGATTAAAAATTGATTGCTTCTATTTCGATGAAATGGGTTACACGATCAATCCGAGGCATCAACAAATGTGAACTTAACACTCGATATTTTTTTTGGAAAGCATCAATATGACAAATTCAATTTGGCAAGATCCACAAAGACAATAAAGCTACGTAAACAGATTATTTTTTATGTATAAATGTTGGTAATCGCAAAGAAGCAATAGTTAGTGTGAGTTTAATTTATATTATAGTAAATTAGACCTATAAGACCTATTAATACTTACTTTAAAGTTTTACTATTGAATTGGAATATAATTTAAATTGAATATCCATCTATGACATGATATAGTGGAACTAAGTCAATTTATTTTCCTACAAAAAATTTACTAGTGAACCAATACCAAAAATTTTTAATAAGTGGGTGTAAAGCCGAGTTGCTGCCGAGTATTTTGTCGATGACTCTGCATGTGGTTAATTTGTTTTGGTAACTAAATCCTCAGCTATGTAACATTAATAATTAATAAAATATTCTATTAGAACCTAGATCATGACATATTTTGTAAAATATCTCTTAGAAAATTAAATAAAATTACTTTTTAACGTTAGAGAGAAAATTGGTAATTTTTAATACAGGCGTGATGATAATCTGTAGACATAAATCGTATAATTTTAACAGAAAATCATTAAATGTAACAGTGTAAGATTTTTTCATTCAGTTTTATCAGATTACCTTTAGCTTTAATTTCCCTTATGGCTAATGGCTTATGACATTGTTATACTTCACTGATATTAAAATATTATACAAGAATTAAAGCAAATTATGTTTTATTACTTAATCAAAATGCACAATTTTATAACCTATTAAATATAATAAAGAGCTAGGCATATTTCTATCTGTGGACCTTTCATTCTTAGACCATATATAATTTATTTATAAAAAGCAATGTGAATGTTAGGGTTCATCAGACGACAATTTCATGACATAAAAATTAAATTAATATATATAATAATAATATAAAATAAATATAGGATGTAGAAAACATGTTATATTTTCTTTTGTTATAATGAAAGATTTAAATTTTTGTTCAACGAATGTAAACTTTTTACCAACAGATTTCACTCATGTTCATCTTAGTATTCTTAAGTTCTACAACAATTATGAGCTACGTATCTTTGTTATTAATAATGTTAAATAATAAATAATGGTTACGCAACTAATTGTAAAAAAGTTACAGTTAAACATAAATTAATATAACAGTTATAAAAAAATAAATAAAAACAATGTAGTGTATAGCAGCTTAATTTAATAATAAATATGGTAAAATAATATCTTTATAAGTTCATAGTGCATTATTGGCTAGTGATATAGTATTATAGTTAGTATTTTTAATAAACCAAACTAAAATAATAAATAACTTATTTAATGAAATAGCTCAAAGTTATCTATGTTTTTTTATTATACCATGTGAGACTTATTCAATGATCCTGATGATAATAACACATTCAAAACTGTGTATGACATTTTAACTATCTGAAATTAAAGTAGAAAACTTAAACAAATATTAATGCATCAACCATAATGAATAATTGGCTAAATGTAATTGTTTTTTTATCATATGTCATTAAAGGATAAAATAATTAATAATTATATCACATTTCACTTTATAAAAATTCTTGATAACAATTTACTAAACATAATATTTTTGTCTATGATTAGTAATTGTAGGTATTTAATCACAATAATATTATAATAATTTATAAATAAAATATTCAGTTCAAATGTAAGTACATAAAAAATACGCTAGTATAGTAAAAAAAACTTTAAATCTTTAAATAATTTGAATTCACCTTATGAACAAATAATCATACATTTATTACCAACGGTATTATTAGCCATATGAACATAATATGTTTTTTATCTGACTTAAAAGAAACATGTCAAATGTTAAAATTAGTAATATTCAGTCTTTATTTATTATTGTAGATAATTGAGTGAAAGTAAAAAGATCTTAAGTATTTATAATTGTATTTTAATGTAATTTTGAATGAAATATTTTTAAATTTTCAGTCAATAATTGTGTACGTTTAAATGTATTAATATAAAAATTAAAAATGGCTTACCTTTACAAGTAAATTTAAATTTACGATAAAAAATGTAACCAATCGTAAAATCTAATGAAATTATAGTTCTGGTCATCATTATTAATACATTACGTTTAAACGATTTATTTGCAACAAGTAATGGATAGTCAAAAAGAGTTCGTAATAGATCATCGTGCTGGAAAATATTATATGAATATAATATTTGAATAAATTCGGAATTATAATGGAATAAACTTACCGAATCAGACATGATACTTCCATAAGAAGTATATATTGTCATATTTATTATAGCTGCTATGGAACTAGCTACACAAATGGAAAATATAATTGGATTGAGAAAACCCTAAAAAATAATTAACTTTTAATATTAATTAACTTTTTGAATAATGAAAATTTGTTTAAATGTTTTAACTACATAAATGTTTTTGATATTGACTATCAAACACTATATGTAATTAAATTATAAGCAAATACTAAATGTTTTGTGTTAAATAATGGATAACATTAATAAATAATTGTTTTCAATTCTAATGTATATCTAGTTATATATACTTTCAATTATAAATCGAGAAATTATCTCGTAGCATGGCGAAAAAGAAATATATATTATTTTAATACGTACTTGGATAGCTTGAATAACTAAAGAAGTAGTTAGGCCAAAATATATAGCATTAAATGATATTGTTAATAATATCGGTTTACCATATACATTCTTCATCGTTTCAAAATACCTTTAAATAACAGAAATAGTGGAGTTATAAACGTTTTGAATTAAATGTTGTAAACATTTTTATTTCAAATCATTTTTAAATTATTTGCCTCTGGATAAAAATAAAAATATCTTATGACTATTGAAAACAAAAATAAAAGTTTTACATCGAATAATTATTGTACGTCAATACTATAATATTGAGCTCACTTCAAAAACTCTTGATGTTGTATAATCGCTTTCTTCAATGTTTTTTCGTCGTTGTCGGCCAAAACTCCTTTCATTGCATTTATAATCAAATCTAATTTTCCTTTCACGATACCAGCATAATATATAAACAATATGTTTATGAAACTAAGTTCAAGATGTGCGATGTACACAGATACGGCATACACCATGTATTTGATCGTGTAGACGAAAACGTTATTAGTCTGTATTGGAAACACATCCAGGTAAGGGAACGTAAAAGGATCTCCCATGAACACGGAATCGTTCATCACCGTGTAAAGGAATGGAGTGATGACAAAAATGTTTGGTGCTATTATGTGATACACAGTTAGTGCGTCGATTTTCGACTGATAGTCTTCCGGTATTCGTAACATTTTCGAATGATAGTTCATCTCGCGGAAATCATTTTGATGGTACAACCGAAACGTGATGCTTAGCAAAATAAAGCTTTCGATTAGCAGACAGAGAAGAGCGAACAGTTGGATGTCCAAAATATCGGTTTTTAAAAAAACCAACGACGAGAGCGTTGTAATGAAGTAGAAAATAGTGATTGAACTCTCGACGTATGTTAAATACAACAATCTCTTATCGTCGGTGCATCCTGTCATTTGCCAAAATATGTCGACAATTCCTATACGCGTCATGTTGACCGTATTTATTGCACTGAGGTATTGGTGGGCGTTCGGGGGTTTTACTCATAAATATAGTGTTAAAATATATTAAAAATAATAATTAACCAGTACATGGTTGAGTGGATAATAATAGCCTTATGATCGAATATCTGCGTGCGTGTTAGAATTTCAAATACATTTTACTCCTAGTTTCTCTATAGAAATGACAGGGGTAAACAATAATGATAATAATAAAGAATAATAATAAGGTAGAGAACATATAGTGATACTATCAATATATAATATTTATTTATAAATTGAACGGAGTATATGTTTTTTATTGTTGTTAAAAAACCGAAATTAAATATAGTTTCATTAATAATTAAGAGAACATACAAGCAAGGCTGTAACTGGAAAAAAATATCAGGGGGGGGTCTAACATTATTATTTAATACAATTTATCGTTAATAAACTATATTCACCGCTAAAATGTTACTACTTTTGAAAATTTCGGGGGGGGGGGGGGGGGGGGGGGGGGGGGGGTTCCGGACCCCCGGAATTAATAACATAAATATGTGTTAAAGATTTGTGGGCGCCAGTACCCTATCTTCATGTCTTCTTCACGAGCATTCATAAAATATGAGTACTAAAACTCGAATATATTTATGATTTATCTGAGTATTTATGAAGTTATGATAATTTAGCACAAATAATGATTTGGTAAAAACAACATTGTACCTACTACTGTTAAAAGTTTTAACATTTATCACATTCACTGTACAGGAATTTCAAGATATTAAATCAGACAGACACTATTACCTGGTCGTTGCCAGACAGCCGTTATATTTTTCGGTTTTCATTCCCTTAATAATCACTAAGGCTAAGGACTTCATGCCCTTAAAAACCTTAAAATATGCATTTATGCCCTAAAGAATCAATAAATATGCTATAAAAATATGCATTTCAAAAAAATTATATTTGTAATAATAAATTAATTAAAAAATATAATTAATAATAAATAAATTAAAAAAATTTAATTAATAATAAATAATAATAATATTTCTAGATAAAATAGATATGATGATCTGAGATAATTATTTTCTTTTTTTTTAAATTTGTTTTCATCTTATATTGAGTTTTTGTCTCAAACAAAAAACTTAAAATTGATTTAAAACTAAATTAAATTGAAAAAAAATTTTTCTACTTTTAATTAGTACTAATTACCTTGAGCATTACATTGGACTATAAGATATTTTCTTAAGTTAGGAAATTTAAATGACCGCCTGTTATCAGCCAAAATATATTTATATTTAGAAAAAAGAACGTTCTACGTCTACGGAACTTATTGGTGTAAATTTAAAAAATGGTAAGTAACTACTACTAATATCTGCAGGCAATCTGTCCATAGATTCATTTTTCCATTTAAAATCTTCGATATTTTTTGTAGTTGATAAGATTCAACCTTTTTCTCCAAAACTTTTTTAATTTTGTCATAAATTGCCTTAGCTTGTGCAGATCCTTCAATTTTCGTAGAATATATATTATCTTTTGTAGTTTAAATTATTTTAATGGATTCAGTTAGTGCCACACCTTGGATTTCAAGTCGAGTGATGGATGAAGAAATAAATCCATAATTTTTTTATAAAATTAAAAAACTTTCTCCTTTATATAAATAATTGACAAATATGCACTTATACAATGAAAAATTGTCAAATATGTACTTCTAAACGAAAAACGGTCAAATATGCAACTATACATTTTAAATATAAACTTGTATTGCTATGAAACAAATTTCTATATTACTTAGATGATTATTTAAAAACATGCAAACTCCTAGAAGTCCCCAGCCCTAATAATCACCAATGTCTAACACCCTACTTCAAAGGGGCGTACTCAAAATATTTGTTTATAATTATCTACCGTCACCAAAAGTGTTTCAATAAATAATATCCAATCATAATTATTGTTTTTAATTATAACACAGTGCTCTAATGATAAGTGCCTATTTTTATATTTGATGTATTTTTATATTTTGGTACTTAATAGACTGCGTGATATACATTTATATATATATGTATATTAGTGTCGAAGGTGAATTTTAATTACGATTTCTAATAATTTAGAATTTGTATTAAACATCATGATTAAAATTATTTGAATAAAAATATAAGTAAAAATAATATTTTCAGTTTGTTAAATTGAAAAAAAAAATGTTATTTTATCAACATTTGTGTAGATTAGCTTGTATCGTATTGTCCCTATGTCATCCAATAAATATTGTTTATATCTTATCTGATAAAAATTAATCTTTTTAGAAATTGCAATTATGACTCTGTTCAGTTAAACTTGCAGTTTGAACGGCTACCATTGATGTTGGAATAATGCTACCGTTTCCCTTAAAAACTGAACTTATTACATAAGTAATACGATTTATACATGAAAAATGAATAAGTAATATATTTACAGCTTAATCATAATCTATTGTTACGTACTATTTTAAATCAAATGTCTTAAATATAGTTATGTACTAATTTAACCGTGGGTCTTATGAAATGATAATATTGTTATAGATGATAGTATTCATAATATATTAAAATTAATTACAATTTTGGTTTGGATTTTTTGAATAAAAGACATTGAAAATATTCTTTGAATACAATAAATAAAAGCAAGGACGATAGACATAATTACTTTTCATTATGTTATCACCGGTAATAAAACGATAACAAATTTTGCTTTTGATAACACTGATAACACATAGTTATTAAATAAAATGTATACAGTGTTCGAAATGTTGGTAAATTATTTATTTAATTTCGGATTATAGGTTTACTTTTAGGTACTTCTTTCATATAATAATAATTTTAAAGTACTTATCTGTGAAATTCAAATCAGTTATAATGGTTGTAAGACCATATAATGAAGAACTAGAATATCTAGAAAGAAAAACTCCCTTTAAATGGGAAATAAAAAAAGGATTTCAGCCAAATATGAAGGTAAATATGATTCATTTTATTAAATAAAAATGATTTGTTTAAATTACACTAAATTGTATTGATGCAGGTCGAAGGAGTTTTTTATGTTAATACATTTTTGGAAAAACTGATGTTGGAAGAATTGCAAAATTCATGTCGACCGGGCATGATTGGTGGTTTTTTACCAGGTGTCAAACAAATCGCTAATGTTGCTGCATTACCAGGCATTGTGCATAAATCTATTGGTCTGCCAGACATACACTCTGGTTATGGATTTGCTATAGGTATTACATTTTTTATTTTCTAAAATAATTAATAAATATAAGCTATTTATCGATTGGCTCAGATTATTTATTTATTACTTATTATTTATTTTTACTATACGTAAGTTTTGTTATTATATACATTTAATAAGTGTTATCCTTCCAGTCATATTTAATCTCTTTTTAAGTGATAAATAGGTTAATTTATTACTATTTTAGACATTGTACAATTAAAAAACCTAATATTAAACTATAAACAAATTAGTTGTATTTCCATGATAAATCCAAATATTACAGTTAATAAAATTGTATTTAGTAATAGTTTATGAATATAATAGTTGATTAACAAATTATTAAATGAAAATAAACAGAGTTATTGTGGAATATATAAAAATATATAAATGAACCAATTTTAAAATTTATTTCAACATTTTAAGATTAAGTATGACTGATCTTAATTTAAATTTAAAAAAAAATGGTCTAAATTAATTTATACAGCCATAGTAAGAATATGTAATAAAGCAAAATATACTGAATCATGAGAAGATTAAATACCAATATAGTGTTATACAGATACAATTATATGATCAGTATCACCAACTAAAACTATGAATTGAATAAGTATTTTTAATAGGTATGATTTGCTTAATTAATGATTTATGTTAGGTTTTGTTTATATAATTATATATTTACTTCTATTATGGATTTTTAATTGTATATGAAGATTTTGTAGTATAGTAAAATGTTTCTTCTGGAAAGTGAAAAACATAACACAATATCAAATTCAATCTAAAAAAATTGAAGGAACACTTGTATTTTTAAATTTTATATAACTTATGATTTATAAAATATTTACTCTTTATATAGAATTTTATTTAAAAAAAATGATCAATATTTTTCCAGATAAAATTACCTATATAATTTTATATATTAATACTATGTAGAAAATGTCTTAAATAATTTGAATTGTTTAATTATTATAATTTTTACAGTTATGACTTTTTTTTTATAAATGCCTTGCAAATTTTATTTATAGGTAATATGGCTGCATTTGATATGGATGACCCTCAATCTATTGTTTCTCCTGGTGGAGTTGGATTTGATATAAATTGTGGTGTACGATTACTTCGCACAAATTTATTTGAAAAAGATGTTCAACCTGTCAAAGTGATAACACTATTATTATATGCTTTATTTAAGTTCTTCAATAAAATGTTCTTATTTTTACTTAGGAACAATTAGCTCAAAGCATGTTTGATCACATTCCTGTTGGTGTGGGTTCTAAAGGAATTATTCCTATGAATGCGAATGATCTAGAAGAAGCACTTGAAATGGGAATGGATTGGTCTTTACGAGAGGGTTAGTCAAAAGAAAATGTAATCTTTGTAGTATTTTTAAAAGCAATTTTTATATCAGGTTATGCATGGGCTGAAGACAAAGAACATTGTGAAGAGAATGGTAGAATGTTAAATGCAGATTCTTCAAAAGTGAGCATGAGAGCCAGGAAACGAGGTTTACCCCAGGTATATAATTTATTTTTAAATAGTTAAAATAAGTTCATATTTATTTTGAAAAGAAATGTATGTATTAATTAGTTAGGAACGTTAGGAGCAGGCAATCATTATGCAGAAATACAAGTTGTTGATGAAGTTTATGATAAATGGGCTGCAAAAAAAATGGGCATTGAAAATATTGGTCAAGTATGTGTTATGATACATTCTGGAAGTCGTGGATTTGGTCATCAAGTAGCAACAGGTTTCTTATGAGCATTATTAACCTTAAAATATGAATAGAATTACATTTTTTTAATTCAAATGCAATAAACAGAACATGTATATTATTATAAAATATTAATTATTTGTATATGTAAACTATGAATTCTATATATTGTGTAAAAACTGTTACATTTTGAAATTTAAAATTTTTAATTTTTTAATTTATACTTTTCACAAAAATGTTTATTAGACGCTTTACTTGAAATGGAAAAAGCAATGAAACGTGATCAAATTGAAGTTAATGATAGACAATTAGCTTGTGCTCGTATAAATTCCAATGAAGGTCAGAACTATTTGAAAGCTATGTCAGCTGCTGCAAATTTTGCTTGGGTTAACCGAAGTTCAATGACATTTTTAGCACGACAAGTATGTATAAATTATAAATGTATATTTTTTAATTCATACAAAATAAATGATTTATATTTTAAAGGCGTTTGCAAAACAATTCAAATTGACACCAGATGATTTAGACATGCATGTTATATATGACGTATCTCATAATATTGCAAAAATGGAACAACATTATATTGATGGAAAACTTAAACACTTATTAGTTCATAGAAAGGTATCTAAAACATTGTTTATTTCATACACATTTATAACATTTCTAAAGTTATAATAACATTATATTCTACAAACTTCAATTATAAATTTTTAAATTTTAAAATAATGTTAAAGGGATCAACTAGAGCCTTTCCACCATATCATCCTCTTATTCCAGTTGACTACCAACTAACTGGTCAACCAGTATTAATTGGTGGAACTATGGGTACCTGTTCATATGTGTTAACAGGAACCGAACAGGGCATGAACGAAACATTTGGATCTACATGCCATGGAGCTGTAAGTAATACAATTTAAAAAATACATTGAGTTTCAATAATTGGAAATGTTATACAGGGACGTGCACTATCTAGAGCAAAGTCAAGACGGAATATAGACTATAATGATGTACTTGAAAAATTGTCCCAACAAGGTATTTCTATTCGAGTAGCTTCACCAAAATTAGTAATGGAAGAGTCTCCAGAGTCCTATAAAAATGTTACTGATGTGGTGAATACTTGTCATGAAGCAGGAATTAGCAAGAAAACAGTAAAATTGCGACCAATAGCTGTTATTAAGGGATGAAAATGAAATCTAATTTAATTTTCATTTATATTTTGTATTATAAATTGCATTTATACTTGTCTGTAAAAATAATAATATTAAATTAAAATAATAAAAAAATTAATTTTATTATATAGGTAATTTAAACATAGATTTTTGTGGGGGTTATAGGCAATCTAGGAGGGTTAAGTACCTTCTATTTACGCCTATGATGCTGAATTTATACATAATTTATTGTTTTCAGTTGTGCTATTGCATTTTTTACTTGCATCATGCACATAACCAAAATATCAACTTGAGTTGTATTTGAATACATGATTTGGAATATTTTACATAAAATACTTTTGAACTATTCTAAATATTTTTTAAATTATTTATTACAGTATTTTAAAAAAATTCTTTAGAGGTATTAAAAATACTTTTTTAACGTCCAATCACCTTTTTTAAATAATATCACAACTATACTGCAATATTTATTGCATTTTAACTCATATTTATTCTACTATTTGGAAAAAAGAGATACACGAAATCTGAAATATTTTTTTCTTTTAAATTATTTTTATCAGTATTTTACCTACTTGTGCGTTTTTTCACCACCTTAGTTTTTATAAAACAATACATTTGCGTCATGGACAATGACATATATTATTTTCAAGCATAAGTTATTACACGTGGCGCGGTTTTTTTCGTATCTCCGTAAAGGCTTAATTCACACTCGGAAAGCGTCAATGTTTTCCAAGAGTAATTCGATCTACAACAAATTACTTACTATTGACAATAAATATTATTTATCTGTAGTTTATTAAGTAATATAATATACGTTGATGTTTAAAAAAATGTATTTCTTACGAACACTCAGTTATAATTCTAGCATGAAAAATCATCGACGTTATTTCGCTCTTATTATGAGTCTTAATTCAATAATCAATCCAATAATAACTAATATTAATTACAAATAACTATTCCTAAATTATTTTAACTGTAGTCAAGTTTAACCTACTAAATTTATTTTTCACTAAATTACTTGATAATAGTAAAAATTTAATATACTTGATCTAATTTAGCTGATCATGACACCTAATTCTATAATCTAACTACTACTAACTTATATTAACTACTGCTAAATAATTCTAACTATAGTTATTTATTACTAAATAAGTTTTGCACTAAATCAGTAAATAATAATTTATTTAAAATAACTTGTAAAATTCTAATTTTACTTGTAGCTAATTATACTAATTATAATCAACATAAATTATTGTAATTTTCTAACAATGTATACTCATATATTTGTCCAAAATGCAAATAATAAAAGGCATAAAAATACATACAACTTTAAACAGTGGCACCGCAGTCCTAAACATTTAGTCGGACGAATAATATTTAAAAAGAACAATATTTAAATATCAGCCCCATCGGCTAATTACTACCGATTTTGGTTAATTTTTTTTACATGATAATTCTATATTCATTGTTTTAGCACCTATCGAATATCTAAACTGTACTCTGTATGAACATCCGTTGTATTTTTAAAGTAAATTTTAATGTGTGTAATGTAACCGGATTAAAAAACATTAAATTTAAATTACAAGAAAAATAATTTTTTTTTAGTTCTTGATAAAAAAAATATAAAAATTAAATATTTATTAAATAAATAATATATACAAATTTGATATCTTAATTAACCTGTTATATTTGATAAATTAAGACTCTAAAAATGCATGTAGTAAGATTTTGGCTTGATACAATTGAAGTCGGGAAATCAATAACAGCAGTGCTTAAACTTGGCAAAATTAAAAAAGGGGACTCTATTTACTTTAGAAAAAAAGAGCGTTCCCAAAACTTGTTAATCGTTATAATTATAATGTAATAATAGTAAGGGACGTTAAAATTTCTGAAAATTAGTTGGGGTACTCTATTTCCCTGCGTCCCCCTCAAGTCAAGCATTGAATAACAGGCTTAGTGGCAAAAAAAAAAAAAATTTAGACTCGAAAAACCGAGCTATATGTTATCGCCAATAAACTATAAAGAGGTTATGTCTTACGAGCATAATATTGGTATATATAATATTATGGTCGTGGGCAAGACCGTATTTAGAAATTTGACACCAGGGGGCAACAATAAAAAACGCTTCATTATACCAAATACAAATTTCTGCGGGTTGAAAAAGATCTTTCTGAGGAACAATTCGTTGCTGGTGTACACAAAAACATTCTAAGTGCAACGTCAACATAAGAATAGATTGTTTGTAAATCTTTGGATCTATCGACAGTACTCGACCGTTACCGACTATGTATGTGTGTGTGTGTGTGTGTCGTGACGTCGGGTTGGCGTATTTTATCATATTCATAAATCGTATTTTATTAATCTATTTTTTTTTTTGAGACATAATTTTTATTTTGTAAAGAAATTTCATTTCAAAAATATTAGATCATTAAATATTGAAAATATAAGAAAATTAGCCGCCCTCTCATATCGAGCCACTCGGGGCAACAGCACCCTGTAGCTCCCCCCTAAATACGGTCCTGGTCATGGGACATTGCTATTTTTATAGGTTGTTGGCGATGGTACATAGCTCGGTTTTTCGAGTCTAACTTTTTTTTTTTTTTTTTTTTTTGGCACTTAGCCGCTTATTGATGATTTCCAGTCTTCAATTTTGTGTGTTGTGCCTACATTGAAAAAATGTCTTAACTATTCTTCTTTCCGAACTTTTTCCGAGCAGTAAATGAAAACTGATAGCATGGGGTTGCTTAAAATTTAGTTACTTCCTTCACACAACTCTTCAGCCGACACTAATTATAATATGTTATCTTTCAAGATCTTTCAAAAAAGGAAAAACTGCTACCAGATATGTACTCAGATATTAAATAATTTTCAGTTAAACTAAAAATTTAACGTTTAATTTAATGTTTTACAAGCATAGTGATGGGAAAATTAGATCATTTCGTTTGTTTTAAACAATCCATGGGGACATTTCAACGATGTAACTGGGAAGAAGAGAAAGTAAAATTTTTGAATATTATTGAAAATTTACAAAATTAATTTTTAAACAGATTTTCTGATTTTTATTTAATTGACTTTAAAATAAAATCATTTTAAACCCATTTGCAGTTGATATAGATGATGTTGTAAGCTGTTTACAAATGGAAATTATTGAGTTATAAAGTGACGAAAGTCTTAAAACTACTTTTCACGATGGCCACAACTTAATTCAGTTTTATTCAAGTACCTGTACAACAAATTTAGTAAAATAAAACATTTTTCTAAACAAATGTTATCCGTGTTTGGAAGCACGTATATTTGCGAGCAAACTTTTTCATTAATGAAATATTAGAAAGGTAAATATATTTCCCGATTAACCGATCGTCACTTAATTGATGTATTGAGAATTTCTACATCGAAAATCAAACCTACGATCAATAAACTTGTTGTTTAGCTATTCAAATCAAAAATCACATTAATTTTTACTTTGTATTATTTTTTTTTTATTATTATTAAAACGTTGTTATTACATACCACGATAAATATATACATATATATATATATATATATATAATATATAATATACCTACCAAACAGTGACGAAGCTTGAATAAATTACATTTGATATATTTTTAAGTTTTGTTTAAAATTTAAACTGTAAAATATAAATTAAATAAGATGTATGGCCCATGCATTTTTTTTTTTTTGTGGCCCTCAACACCAAAAAGGTTGTCGACCTCTGAACTAGTATATCAACGTTTTTTTTTCAAAATCACCAATAAAACGTTACATCACCATCACACGAGTGAACATATAAAGGAATAGAGGCGTACACACTACTTACATGGAGGTATTATTATTGATACCTATAGCTCTATTTCAATGAACAATTTCCAATTATTAATATGAATAGAATATGATTTGTAGTAATAACAGGGTGTTATTATTTGTGTAGTGCGGCTAGACATTCTTTGTGTTAAATAAATATAATAATGTATTATAGTGTTTACAAGTTTAACTTTGGGATACTTCGTACGTGTTTTACTCACTTGAAATTGTAACACATAAGTAACTACCTATTGATGAACATAATAATTAATCGGTTCGTTTTTCCAAAATCGGTCAAATTTTATTTTTATTTTACGGGTGCATATAGTTAACATTTATTTATGTTGAAAATAACAATTTTGTAGACTTATTAATATCTTCGCATGTATTTCTATAAATTCGAACTTACAGTACTTATCGCGTTTAAATTGACATTTTTCAAAATAAAATCTATCATGCAATTTTTATTTTTATAGACTTTAATACATATATAATATATATATATATATATTACAGTCGATATTAAAAATTGATTATATATACTGTATATAAATTATATATTACATATACTATATCTACAAAATATTGTATTGTGTAACCATAGGCGTAGGGTGATCAAATATATTGGGGGCTGAAAAATCAACAATAATAATAATAATAATAATAATAAAAACACTAAACTAAATGAAAATAAGACTACTCAACGAAATGAGCAAAAATAATACAAATAAATCTGGGGGAGATAATATTCGCACTGGGGGGGCTAAGCCCCTCCTAAATACGCCTATGTGTGTAACACAATTTGTGTTGGTATTGTATTGGTAATTAAAAACGTTTATTATTTTTAATATACTTACTAAATTATTTGGTAGTACTTCAAAAATAACAGGTTAAAGTAAACGGTTTGTATTAATATATTTTATTAGTCAACTAAAAAGTAACAAAGTTGAATATAAGAGTTTATAATCTATGGTAGCATTTATTTCCTGGTAAAATATACAAAACGAACTTTTCTACTTATAATCATACTATATGTATCAAAACTGATTAGTAGGTATCAAAATTTCGTAACAATAATGAAAAATAAAATGAACCGAACAATATTATCGACATATTAAGTTGTAGGTACCTGTTGATATAAATATGTATGGAATGTGTGAGTTAGATAAGCGTAATTTTTGGAAAAAAATAAGGGTGATCTGCCATCATTAATATCGAATGTGAACAAAATCATGCACATCATAATATACATAATATAATAATTATATTATATTATTTGTAATTATTACAATCATAAATAATTATATTTGCTGTTTTAAATTGTTTCTGGATAATTGACGATTGGTGAGATTTGAGGTATTTTGCATTCAATCAACGTAGCCATTTCTTTTATATTGATTTTCGACGCGATTGGCAACTCGCCAAAGTCATTTGACCGAGGCCTTATTGATCTGTTCAATTTCTAAACATCGATTATTTTCATTTTAACAAATTATATTCGTAATAATCGAAACGGGTTAGCTACAAGTAAGTGGTTTAGTCTGCTCAAGTATGTTTCATCGGTAAATATTATTACATTACAGACATTTTTAAAGCCTTTTTATAACTTACTTGATGTAATGTCTTGCCTTCGGAGTGTAGGAACGTATAAATTGACACGATGGGTATACATGCCAATGAGATCATAACCATGGACCAACCTATTACATGAGCCCACGTGGGAAAACTCTTGGTGCCGTTTAAATAAGTCGTTGGTTCGTAGTCTGTTAAGCTAAATATCCACACAAACTATAAAACAATTATAATAATAACATATGTTTAATGAATTAGCACATAAAGAGATTGGACTTCATGGTCATCCATGATAAACGTTTAACGGGATTCGAAATGAAAGCAAGCATGATATCATTCATGTTTTTCCTTACCGAGATTTAAATTAGGCCACAGTAAATGTTTTAAACACTTTAAATGGAAATATACACTTTACTACGTGCTTTTACTACAGTAGGTATTAGGTAGTAGAAATACTTAGTAAATTATGTACTAACCATTAGTGTGAGAGGTGTAATGGTGTACCAACTGAATTTAAAAAACCACGATGGTTTTGAACTAGTGATTGTTTGAATATCCACCGAAATTTTATTAGCCCCGTACATCCAAGACACGGCGATTACTTCAAAGAAAGCAATATATATAACTGACCACGTAGAAGTATAATAATCAATTATTTGAAACAGATATATACCGCCCTGCGAACAGGAAAATACATGGAGATAAAATGATTTGAGACAAATTTAATATCAACAAAAAATATAATATATTTAAAGTTACTTAATATATAAATATTATACTGAATATTATATTATTTATAAGCGTTTTAACTAAAGTGAATTAAAAATGATAAATTTCCACAAACCTGTGTGACCAGGGGAAGTCCTAGGAGAAATGAAGCGGTGCAAACCGTCAAGACTAAAAGTTCATGGCAGACTAGATATTTTTTTACAGCCCTAGGAAACCCGTCTTGTATGGATGTTACAACAACTTCAACTATAGCGAACTAAAAAAATGAAACAGAATAAGCAACCCAATTATATTATTGTCATTTTGATTATTGCCTTATTAAACATCAATTGTTCATAAATGTATGTTAACGATTTGGATTAGTAGTTTATTTACTCGGGGTAGAGAGGGTGATAGATTTCCACCCTTTGAGACTCTTTCTTTTTTCATTTAGTATTTTTTAATTATAATACAATTTTTCGACTTTTATAAATGTATAAAATTCTTAAAAGTACGGAAGAAGTAAATATTTTATCTTAATTTCAATTATCATGATTAACTTACATTGTAACTAAAAACTTGTACATTTTGTTATTTAAGTCATTAGAAAGAAAATATGGGAAAAATCCTATATATGCCACTAATTTGGACAGGACTATAACCTTCCGTGTTTCAGGGTCGTATTTTAGGAGGGCGAAGGGGTGATCACCCCTCCCTGAATCCATATTTAAGGAATTGATTATATGTGAGATACTTACACATTTCAAATTTTTTTAATGTGGATAATTTTATAACGAAATCAAATCACGCGTGGCTGTGAATACTGAATTAGGCTTTTTGTTGGGTCAATACTTAGTGAAAAAAATCAAATAAAATACAAGCGTAACTTTTTCTAAGTGGATCCGGCATAAGAATAAAAAAAAAAAACCACAAATATTAAAGATTCACCTGATTTAAATATTACCAACAAATTTACTTGTAAATTTTAAGCCTGAATTAAAGAAAAAATTTAAACCCCCCCTAGAAGAAAGTCTAAATACGTCCCTGCCGTGTTTATACTACGAAGATAAGTATTTATAGTTCAACAATATATATTATTTAACTTTCACAGGTACATTAAAAATATATAGATTTATTAAGTACCACGGATTTTGTAAACATTAGCCAGAGCATTTTTACTGGTATTCCTTTACCACATATTACGCGTATTATATAACATTATTCTAAATACATTTTAATTAGTATATTAATTTCAACGGCATATATGTACGATGTATACTCTTAGTACATTGAGTAAAACGTAGCTTGATTCAAAACACTTATATAACTCTTCGATGACATTATACTCGTATTACATTTGACATATTAAAATATTAGTTTTATTACGAGATATGTACCTATACAGTATGATTTAATGATACATACCTCACTGTTCAGGGCTAAACAAAACATCATAAAGAACAGCAACATCGACAAATAGTTAGGATACGGCATGTCAGACAATACCTTCGTGAACAGGATGAACATGATTCCTGGTCCTGCGAAGTACGATATATTACAAAACAGGTTTACGATAGTCGGTAACAATATATTGTAAGACCTCAACAACTGGGATTATAAAATAAATCGACTACACATCTGCAATATCTCGACATTTTTTACGCATTCAGTTGCTTCGGGTTTTTGTGTTGGCAAGATTTAATGCACGTTTATGTTAATATATAATAATATATACATACCGTCTGATATTACGTCTTCTACGGACTTTCCGTATTCCTTGGCCATGCTGCCCAGAGTGGCGAACGTAAACAATCCAACAGCAAAACTCGATATGCCGTTAATTAACGATATGGTTACCGTGTCCACCAATATATTGTTGTTATGACGGTTGTACGATGCGAAAGATATGACCAGACCAAAAGCGATACCGATTGAGCTTAAGTTTTGGCCCACAGCGCTTACCCAGACCTAAATAGCATACACGATTTATGTAAAATAAATAAAATATATACTTATATTTATCATATTAAATTACATGGGTTCCGATTATACCGATAGAAAATTAAATAGATTCAATCTGATGGGCTGATTACAATTTGATGATGTGAAAAATATTGAGTAAAGGTTTTTATTTTTTTTTAAACTACACTTTTTGTAGGGGTAATTTACGATTGTTAATGGCACCATTGCGAACGTTTTTACCTGCCTTTTTCGTGTGGTGTTGTCAGGTTTGGTGTTAGGTCCGGTATACACCAAAACAGTGCGTTTTTATTTTTAAACTTTTATATTCGTTTTATAGAACTAAAAATGGGTTGGAGAGCTTTCATAGAACGTATAATGGGCAGTTTTATAATTCCCATCCTCCAACACACGTAGTGATTTCAGTTTTAAAACAAAATGTTCCTTATATATTGTTATTATACATATATTAAATAGTGCATGAAACGACTCAAAACTACGGTTCTAGATTATTAGACAAAACTGTGTAATGAGGAGTCGAGTCCCGACTTTACATTATTGTTATCGTAATATTTATATATTTTGATGAATTTTTACCTTTATAAGACTTAAATAAAACACGATCAAATAGAGGGGGTATTATTACATCTGTAACACTCCTCTAGCTACGTGCCTGGGTAGATGTACTGAATAATTGAAATCTTGGATTTATATTTTAAGCTCCGTACAATACGCGAGTTAATGAACATTTAAGAATATAACAAAGAATAAAAATTTCAACTTAGAGCAAATAAATGTCTTTAATGATTCTAACTATCGTGTGGATTGTACTATCGTATTTTTTAAAATATCTTTTGTGTTGAACGTGGATGCGTATTCTAACCATTTTATGAATTTTGGTAAAATGTCACGGATAACTATGTAAATTCTACGAAAGTAATACTCAAAGCTATAAATATTAAAATAATGTTAAATAAAATTCGGATATTTAGTCCTTGAGAATTTTAATAAAGGTATATATTTATATAAGTATTTAAGTTCTAAAAAAGAGTTAATTACGAAAGTTTACGTGTGGTAATTTGTAGACATTTAATATATTATTTTAAACTGTTGAAATAATCATTCAATCTATCATTTAAATTATAAGCTTAGAATTGTCATTACTTTTCTATCTGGTACTTGTAGTAAGAATTATAATGATAAATAAGTTACATAATATGTAATGACAAATGTTCACGGTTAATAAGTGTTTATGTGTTTATTAGTGGTTGTATAATATTAGAATAAATTAATAGTTACTAACATTGAAAATCTATACTGTTTAATAACACTATTATATTTTATTTTATTTTATCTCTAAATTACTGGTTTAAGTTAAAGTAAATGATTATACGAGTATTAGGTATGTCTATGAACTATAATCATCTAGATTTTCTAAACTTATAACATCGCTACTATATATATTTCAAGGATGAAATAAATACAAAAATATGTTTATTAAATAGTTATTACATTGAGTAGGCACAAACCAATTACGTGTAATGCTCTATCAGGTTATCTGTCAGTCTAATTTGCATGATTACCCAATCTTTGATTTATATTTAATATATATTACGTTTATATTATTTATCATGAATTTGGATTAATGAAAATAATAGTTGTATAGACCGTACAATTTACTGAGGCCTTATCATGGATATATGCAACTTAAGGTCAACTCAATCCAAAGTGGTTAATGTTTACACATATTTAAAAATCAAAACATCAAACATACGTAATGAACTTATGACAACAGTTACTGTCGACGACCTAATTATTTTGTTATTATAAATTTATCATTCATATTGCCTTTGAAAAAACAATTTTTTTTTTTTATTCACTCAAGTTATACAAAATTAGTAAGAGATATTAACAATTTAAAATTATTATCTAACAGGTACGAATCAGCTTAAAATCAACTCAAATATAATGTTTTTATCAAAGAAAATAATTCACCATTTCGAATTAAGTATCAGACATCTAACAAGTATCGTGGCTATGACATAACATTTCGAGTAATTTACTTTTTTAACTTTTTTTTTCACAAGGTTTAAACAAAATATTTACTAATGGTTTATAAAACAATGTTCAATCTATAATTGCATCTAATACTGCGTGTTTAAAAAAAGCAAAATTAATCTAGGATCGTTCGTTTACATTAGTTTTTAAATTACCAAAAATCTCAAGGGTTTAATATTATAAAAAATTTGATTTATAACTGTAAATGTGAAGTTAAAAAAATAAATGTGTGTTACCTACTGCTTCGATATAACAGGTTTGAATGATTCATACAAATCGAATGTAATAAATTAAAAAAAAAAAAAAAGAATCTATGAAAAATAAATATTAAAAATAAGACATGTTAATATATTTTAAATTTTTCGCAAAAAAATTGCAATTCCTCTGATTTCGTCGTCAGCAGTGATAGATTTAGCGGGGATACAGGGGATAAAATTCATTGGGGCTTCAAGCTCTAAGAAGCCTTTAAAGCCAAAATCTAAAACTTAAACATTTTCTATTTCGTCATTTTTTTTTGCTCTTTTTTTAAACTTATCTATTAATTTAGGCACTTAAATTTCGTTTTTTAAGTTATTTAATACATCAACATAAATTTCATAAGTGATATGTTAACCACATTTTTTTTTAAAAAGGTCTCCAACTGGTATTCACATCCCGGCCTCCTGAGGCTTACATCCGTACAGGATGTCAGACCATTGATTGTCCTGCCGGTCTCGCCGTCTGAACGCGCGATGAATAACCGTAGTCGTACTTAAAACTATATTACGTACACATTTACCATACGATCGCGGCAATATCCGATGAAAGCGATGCGGTACTTTTGTGGTGGGAAAGGGATGAGGGCGGGGGAGAGGAGGGGAAATACAGAATTATAAAAAAAAAACATGCACTAAATGATCACCATATGGTGGTGTAAACCGCGACCAGGTTAGTACTGTTCCGGCGGTCACCGGTGTAATTTCTGACCGCGTCGCAACTGCAGTGACCCGCGTTCTGCCTAACTTGGTAATAACTTCGGTATGAAGTGTTTAAAGGCACACACGCACGCACACTTCACGTCAACCGACCCTAACCTTCGAGTCCAAGAGTAATTCCCATCGGAGTTGGAACAGGAAATAGTTGAGACCGATGTCCGCGCCGTCCAGCATCAGTGACCGGACCAGCAGCATGGCTAACATGACGAATGGCAGCGTGGCGGTCAGGTGGAGCACGCGACCGGACGACTTGGTGCTCTTCCACAGTTTGAAATACACAACGGTCCAAACGATAAACATCCAAGCGGCTAATTCCCAGCGAATTTTTCCCAACGCGTCCGGGTCCTCGGTCGTCTGCAGCATTTTCAGGCTGCAAAACGGGAAAACGACAGTAATAATAACAATATAATAGTCCCCGGGGTGCGCGTTTGGACCACGTGAAGGCCAGCGCGTAGGCACTGCAATCATGATCGGATTCTATACATCGCTAAAACAAAATTGTACGTTACTTTATGAACTGAGAAATCTTAAAATGTGCACGTTACAACGTTAATGTCTTATAAACATGGGAAACATCGAGAGAAAAACAGAAACGTTCTGTTTAGAGTATCTTTAATTTTTTGTCTCCTGTTAATGGTTAAGAAGTATTCGTTTATTAAACATTTACGAATTAATAATACGTTTATAATTAATTAAACGAAAGCATGAGGATTTTTCTATTCCCCAAGTCATAATGCTCTTTTCGATAATTCTAATTCACATTATGAGATTTAAGAAAAACTTAAAATAAATCATATCGAGTGTATATGAAAGTGAAAAATAGTACAGAAACCGGAGAAATGTTACTATATAAAACTAAAATTCTAAAAATATCCAAAAATATGCAGTACATACGCATTTAGATTTGAAATCTTTGTTAATTAAAAATAAGTGCATATATACCTCTTTCAATTATTATTTTAATTTGTATTCTACAATAATTAATATACGCTATAGAATCCGAACCTTGAATTTATAATATATAATTTATGATTAATGACATCGATCGGTTTTCGTCATGTATCATGCGTAGTATGTGTAGTTTTGTATCATTGCAAATCGAAAAGAAAAAAAAAACTTTACACTGTTCAAGTGTTGTGCCGTGCTACACCCGAATAGTGCCCCGTGGATAAACGGAGTACTTGGGTGAAATAAGTCCAACGGGCAGAGCCGGATGTAGGACATTTGACGTCTAAGGCTAATAAAAATGTAACACCCTTACGTAGATGGAAGTACGGGATGGGTTTATCACTTTTATTATTTTTCCACCCACCCCTAGATTTGACACTGCCGAAGGATGTGTACACCCACAAGTATCGTGGATGATGGAAGAATAACAATGTGGCGTAATCAACAAGACACCGTGGATACCGGATATGATGTCGTTCATAAGTGCAACTAAGGGAGCCCCTTAAGAATTTCTATGGCTCTCCTAGATTATACATAATGAATCTTAGTATTTTGTGTTTGAGGTTGAGATAAATTCTAATTATCTATATCTATAATTTTAACATATGAAATAATTATTGAGTTTGATAATATTGCATTTTTCAATAATATTTTTTCTAAATAAATTAATTGTAATATTTAATTTTTTTTTAATGTTTTCATAATATATATATATATTTACATATATTCATGCTTTAAAATCAGAAATTACTGAAACAACAAACTACATGAAAACTATTAAACTTGATTTTGTTATAAATTACATTAATAAAGTGATAGAAAAATATGTTTATTTCAATCTATATAAGATGTTAGATATGGCAATAAGTATAAGCTCTATAAGATCAGTATATGATCAGTATTTGTGGAAGATTGTTTGTAAGAGTATAAAATATATATTATGAACCAGTATGCAACAATACCAACAAATTTTACTGTTTTCAATATAGAAAAGGAATATTATAAGCTCGTTAAATAATGAAAATATTTTAGAATTGTACTTTACTAAATACAGACAAATTATATTAAAATAAAATTGAATCCAAAAAGTTCAATTTGTGTACATGTATAATTAATTTGAATTACTTTATTTTAGACTTATTTGATTTGTTTTAGGAGAAATTATGAGGGCTAGTCTTCCTAAAATATGAACTGAACCTTTAATGCTGAGTAGTGATACATTTTATCTGTATTTAAATTGGAGCGAGGCAGAGCCATTGCGGGTCTGTGTTATTTTTGTACATGTAGTACCTTAAAAATGTAAGCTCTAGTTGCGCCTATGATGTTGTATTTTAAAGCAGCTTTGAGAATAAATGCGATAAGATATTTCACTACTAATGTCGTTCGAAAACCGAAACGGAATATTCATTAAAACACGTATAATATGGCTAGGCACGATTCATGGTCGTCGTGAAAACGAAAAAAACTAGGAAGTTATACTGTACAATAATTATTTACACGGTATTGCGAACGTATCGAGATTAAATCGGACCGCAGAGTTATTATTAATTACATTTTATATGTGCGAATTCATTATTATTGATGACCGTCGGTTGATGAATGATAATAGTGTTTTTATAGGTGTGTATATTGTAAGGGATATTTTGCATGTTAATAGCGAACCTATGTATGGAGAACGATACATCATGTTAAACTCAATCGACGGTAAAGTAGTCAAAGGCAGTAGATAATTTAACTCCGGGATAGGTTTGTTTTTATTATATTTATCGACCATTTGAATTATGGGATATAGTCATCTGTATATTAATTTCATTAAACCAATAATTTTTATTCGTTCCTTAGACTGAACAGATTTTTTAGCGTTTTTTAAATGTTGAGCAACTATAATATTATAAATGTGAGTGACTTCTTTATAACGTTATAAAAAAAGATAATTGTCTGAAATCCAAAACACAATATTTGTTTATCATTGAAACGGGAAATTGGTCGAACTCAATATAGAATACTTCCTTATAACAAACAATTCGATATTATTTTTAATAGTTTTTATAGGGTGTGTATAATATGGAAACGGGTTATTTTTTAATGGCAGTGTTGAGTAATATAAATGCTATTCAATTACATACATGGAAATACGTAAAATGTTATGATGAATTCGGTGTAACTAGATTTGATATGAATCTTACAGCAAGTGCTTAGTCATATGGTTCTCGGTACATCGAAACGTATAGCATGCCTTGCATAAATCCATGTGAATAAGTATTTAAAGTTCAATAACTGTACTTGTAAAATTCTTCAGCAGGACTTCTGCTGTTCAACGGTCGAGTATTGTTATCCTTAACGGTCCAACAGTTATCTGTGTTCCACCGGTTGTTGCAATGAAACCATGGCGGCTGGTCCTGGATTGCCGAGAAGAAATAATAAAGAGTGTGCGCGATAATGACGTTGTAGTAGATGGATACGAAGAACGATGTGACCACACTGGATAAACCAACACCTACAAAAAATAAAAATGAAACAATACACATCAGTTAATCCCGAACGGCGGTTAGTCATTTGACAAGAAATGAGTTTCGGTCGATTAGTCATCGAGTGTAATAGCATAAATATTTAATAATATTTAATGTCGTTTGAATCGGTGTAGTTAATATAAGCTGAATTTTAATTTTAAAAATATTAAACACAAAACAAATTTTACTTATCGGAATAATGAGTTATATATTTTTACATAATATATTAATATTATGAATAATTATAACTGGAGGCTTAAATTTGTTTGTGGAATAAAAATATCATATAATATATAATATACCTGTTCAGGGGCCCATTATCTTTTCGAAAAAATATACAAAAATAATAATTATAAAATTAATAATTTATTAAAAATCAAGTAAAATACTTTTTCACATTTTTTTTTTATTTTTTTTTTTTAAATTAACATGTACCGATATTTTGATTTATGACACAAATAACCATAATATTATATAGAGCTTATAGAATATTAATGTTATTAATTTAATGAATTATTATTACTTTTATGCAGTTCACCTACACTGTTTTATCTTAAATAATATAATGTATGGAATGTATTTATGGATAAATATTTTTTGTTATTTCATAATAGCCCTGAGCGCATACAAAACCAAGATAAGATTATTTTTTTCGTCAGGATTTATTTTAAGATATGCAAATAAAAAACTGGTAAGATAATGGTGGCGGAAGTTCATCCTTTGTCCTTTCGGTCCTCGGACTATATAATGGTAATGGGTATATTGGCTTTTAAAGAAATGATATCTCATATTTTTTTACATTTTTTTTCTACATATTAATCATTTGAAACACAAATTAATCTGTTGAAATTTTACTTCAGCAATTCTTAATTCGAACTTTATTACAGTAAAAGTGTATCACTTATCACCAATTATTATCTATACAATATATTTAAACTAACAATAATAATTATTTATTGTAATTATAATTAGAATAGGGTATTATATAATACCGGTTCATATAATTACTCAAAGATAAGATTAAGTGCTTTCTATTTCAACTGTGTAATTTGTTCTAAAAAAAATCATCAATTATTTAATATGTTTAATTGATTTTTATTTAATCATACACGATTATTAATTTTATATTTATCATTATTCGTTTTTGTATAAAAACATTAAAATATAATAGTAACATTTATTAATGCATATAAATTAAGTCCTTGTATTATGAACCATGATTTACTTGCCTTTTAAAATTGGACATAGTTTTGAAATCGCACCAATTGGTCCTCGTTTTGTACACTGACCCAAAGCCAATTCCAAATATAATAACGGTATTCCACAAAATATCATCACCAAAAAATATGGAATTAAAAATATACCTAAACATACAACAATTTTAAAGAATAATTATCATTGAAAAATATATAAAAAATCAAAAGTTTTGATTCAAAACTATTTAAACTAAACATTTTCATTTCAGAAAAATGACAACAGACAATTCACAAAATTAAAATTTCAATGCAATCATTTTTTTGTGACTAATTATTTCCGGACACAATGGAATATAAAAATTTCCTTTTTAGGAAGTCCTATTATTATTTGTTTCCTTTATGATTCGTTTAAATGCATTTTAATAATTATTTAATTTAATTGGTTGGTGCAACGTAAGTGCCTTTTGTTATGTTATTTTGTTTGGTTTTATAAATATTTTCGACATTGCTATTTAATTCTTCTGTACATTTAAAACAATATAAACTATTTATAATAGTGATGTTCCCGCTATGTTGAATAATTGGCTCCCCTAGCCAATGATAAATTGGCTTCTTCCTATAAAAATATTATTAGTACAATCATTTCACGATAAAATGTTTGTAATTTTAATTCTAAGTTTCCTGGTGTGAATCGTAGATTAATTTATGGAAAACGGCTTACCTCCACCACTTTTGTGACAGTGATATGGAAACCGCCAAATATTGCTTAACCCAACCGAACATCCTAGACACGCTAAAATAAATTGGAGTTTGTTGCGCCAATAGTGTGTCCTGGTCCTAGACCGGAAGTCCGAAAGCGACCAATTGAGTGATCTGGAACAACTGCTGCATTCTGTAAAATCACCGTCTTCTCTTTCAATGAATCTGAACAACACAATTAAACAAAACAATTTTAGTTGACTAATGCGATTAAAATATGATAACTAAATTTTTAATTTGACACCAAAAACATATTAATAAATATTTCTATCAAAACTGTATACTATACTTTAATAAAATGATCAACTTATTTGTTGAACCTGAACAACTACCGTACATTTTTTCATTTACATAATAAGCCTCCAACGTATTATATATTTATCATGAAATCGAAAAATTATTTTAAGTAACTAAACTAACAGCCGTTTACACTAATAAATTGAGTTTTAAGTCATTATTTTTTCAAATAATCATTAAAGAACATAATTAATAAAATTGAATCGACCATTTGACTTTCGTAGCTTTGATATTAATATATTATTAAGTATTGTTAACCGTCGTTTACATAACTCGTACTTTGAGTAAATCACAAGGATAAATATGTTACATTGTTATGGCCATATAGTAAATTATATTAGTTAATATTACGTTGTTTGAAAGCAAAGAGACAAGGAAAAATCACTGTATTCAAAACTAATTATGACTAAATAGCAGGGTTACCTTAACCCTTAATTTTTGGTTCAGTTCCATAATTTGTTTTTGAACTTTATTTGTGATAAACGTTAAATCAAGCTATGTTCAACAAACGGTTTTAGATTGTAACATTACGAATATAAATTAAATGGTTCATCGAAAATTATACTAGAAAAACGTTCAAATTGTTTATATTTTTTGAAATGTTCGCCAAAAAAAAAGTAAAAAAATTTAAAATTTTTGAACGATGGACTTAATAAACCTTATTAAGTTATTTGTTCTTATAAATTTAATTAGAAGAATGTTTTGAAATAATAAGTTCTTGAACGTTTAATCAAAAGAACGTTTTACAGTCAAATGTTCTCGAATGCTTTAAAGTTATACGTTATGGAATAACGTTTCTATTTCTTGAACGTTTTGAAAATGAACATAATTTTAAAGATGACCAAGTTCACATAGACGAAGAAAACACTAACAATGTTTCTGAATGTTAATGTTAAAATTTCTGAAGATAATAATAAAATAAATGAAAATAATCAAGAGACATTGCTTCAATCTTCAACGATTTATAAGCAACAGTCAATACATCGGAGGTACTGAGAAATGTGCGATGTGCTGCTCATACTTTAAAACTCTCAATTCTAGATATATTTAAAATATAAAGTATATCAACTATAAACAAATCACGGAGATTGGAGAAGATGTTGAGATTACCAAACAATTTGGAAGCTCTCAAGAATATGGATATACTACTATATTATTAATCATAATAACTTATTTTTATGTAACTTATACTTTTATTAGTATCATAATATTATATCATCTTATATTGTCAAAAATAAAGAATTGGCTATTGGATTTATTTTGACTGAAGCTTCTTTGGTCCTTTCAAAGTCACATTATGCTGTTGGGATATATTTTTAATCCTTATCTTAGTTCTTAGTAACGATAGGACTAGATGTGATTCAAGTTTTAGTAATACTAATTATTCTTATATAATTTTAAATTCAAAATAGTCAAAAGATAATTTTGATTCATAACGTTATTTTAAAAGTTCGAAGAATGGTTTAATTTGTGTTGTTCTATGTATTAAAAGTTTGAAGAACGTGTTAACTTATTACGTTATTCGTGTAATTGTTCAAAGAACTTAATAGGTTATGACGCTCCTCATGTACATTTTTTAAGGAACTTTTAAGATTATAACGCTTTTCATGAAAAAGGTCAGTAAACTTAATAGTTTATAATATAAACATACACTTTTTTAATCATTTATATAACTCAAAAAACATAATTCTATAGTCTAAACACAGTAGACATCTGCATTTCCATATTCAATGTATTTAACTCATGATGAATTAAATAAATATTATAAATTGTTTGATTTATAATATGTATGTATCTATCATTTAAATACTGATTATATAAAGTATTCTTAAATCAAGAGTCTAAAATTTTAAATGTAAATAATATCTCGTAATTATGAGTTATAGTTTAAAAAACGAATCAATAAATGTTGAGAGAGTCATTAACTTAGAACAGAACTTATTAAATGTAGATGATCATTTTGAAAAATAGAAGTTACTTCGAATAATAAAATTCATGAAATTACATATTTACTCAGTAATTAAGATTTAATGATCTTGTCATAAAGAAGTTATTATTTTGGAAGAAAAAAATATCTAAACAAATTGTTTCCTAAAACTTATAATTACCATATCAAATTCAAAATCATATATAATTAAAATCATTAAGTGATATATACATGCATCATGTATAAGATTTATTTTAGACCGCTTTGAATATTTAAAGCTTAAATATTCAAAAAAGTTACGACTGAAAAAGTTAATGTGTACTTGAGTAATTCGATACAGAGTTAACAATGTGTCTGGTCATAGTTCATGTATAGAAACTTTCTTAACTGAGACTATATACGTAATACGTATAACATTATCCTTCTAAAACGATTTCAATGTTACAAAATGTACGGTAAAATACATTCTTAAATCATAATATTTTAAATAGTAACCGGTAATTTAAAATAATACTTATATAGATTAATTAGTAATAATATTACCATGTAGTTTATATCAAATATAACATTGAAATAATTGATATATTTTATTTTTAAAATATTGGGATGTTAATTAGTATTGAATACTGATTACATATCATACACATCATATCATATCATATCATACATATACATAATATCGATAGTAATCTTACGCTTAACTCGTAGTTTGACGAAAAACCACTAAGTGAAGAGATTATTAAATATGTTTTAAACTCATTTAGTTATATTTGTTAATTTCGTAATCCTTATGTAAACGAATTTTACACAGTATTATTCTACCAGAGTATTTTGATTTATTGAAGGGTTGATAGTGACGGGTAAAAATAAAATAATTTAACTAATGGTATTCACTGACATTTTAAACTATTTTAAGTGGCACGTACATCATTTCATTAATCAAAATAACATATGTTTTAAATTAAGTTCCATTATTGTGGAATGTGTAGTACCATTCAGTAAAACAAATACTGCAGTTACCTATTAAAACTGAAGTTAACAGTTATATATGTAGGATTCATAATTAGTAAATAGTTTTTTTTCCAAAATTAAATACGTTATATTTTTTTCTGCGTCCCAACCTGAAGTTTAAGGATCGTGCGTTCAGTGAGCATCACGAACTGATTTATAGAACAAATATTTGATTACATTTTATCGTGATAATGTTAAATTGCTCTGTAGTTATACAAAAACATGTATTGACACTATTGGTAACTAAAGTGTAATTATTAAATATAATAACACCATTTAATTAATTCAATTTTGTTTTAATGGGATATGATGCAATACTTAATTTTCATAGAAATCGCACTACAGTTTATTTACAAACTTTTTTTTATTATAATATAATAAATACAAGTATCAAAGCTGCACTGCAACGAATACATTGACAACAATAGCAATATATAATACGCTATTTTTTAATAGCTGAATAAAAAATTACACGTGTTTAATATTTATTATGATTCAAAAAAATAAATATTATTTTAACTTAACGTCGAATGGTTTTAGAATTTTAGTTTCAATAAAGTTGCATTATTCGATACCATGTTAGAAATAACAATTGATAAATAATTACCGATGTGTAGATATTTTATAGTATAACACTATCTATAACGTATTAAACTTAATTCGTAAGTGGTACGATTATTGTAATCGATATTATTAAGTTATTTTGCAATATTCTAGGAGCTAATATGCGTCATTTATTTTGATAACAATAATACAACTTTATTACGTACTATACCTGTGACCTGTACGCCTATATTAACAATATACTAGTGTATATTTAAGTTTATGAATTATGTTCGTTTATTTTTAATGCAAATTATTTTCATTCTTAAGCTTATGTTTATTTAAACGTATTGTGTACTCAAATTCGTACAAATAATACAAGAGCTAACTAGTTCAAGGAGATAATACAGTATTGGCTGTCATTTAAATATCATTCGTTATTAGTCAGAGCTGACGATTTATTGATTCTTGAATTTTTATTCGTAAATTTTTCACACGAATATAATTTTGATTGCGATGGAAATTGATCTGAAATTGGAATTTTTCCAAGCAAAGTATTTTTAATCTATATCAAATTGAAGAGTTTCAATATACGACATGATCTAATATGTAATATACATAGATTTTATTGCACATAAAAAAAAAAAAAAATACGTCTACCCTGGAAATAAAATACTGATGTTCAAAATCTTAATATTTTCTTTCGTGAAAAATAAATACTGCATACATTTTATTTCATGGGCAAAATGTGGCATTGGCGCGAAATAAATTGATGTAGAGAACATTTAAATGTGTAACTATTATATATATACCTAACCGGTAGCGTATCCAGATTTTTTTTTTTGGGGGGGGTTATAAAAAATGTAACATTAAATTACTTTTGAATTTTGTGTGTTTTTATTATAATCAATAGACAATATACATACACTAAACATTTTCGGGAGGGGTTATAACCCCCCTAACCCCCTGGATATGCCACTGTACCTAACCATCAAGTACAAAGTAATTTCATCGTTTCGAATTTGAAAACATGAAAAATCCCGAACGGTCAAGCCGTCCGCACAGCTTGACAAACGCGACAATCTTGGTACTCGTACATCCCTGTACAAATGACAACGCACCGAGCAACACAGCATCCGTATTAGTATTCGTTTGATAAAAACAAGTGCGACCGGCGGAGTGGTGAGCAGACGAAAAAGATAAATTATAACAAGACAAACTGATAACGGTCGATCGCTTTCTTAAAACTGACCGCGCGAAGAAAAACAACAGGACGGAACCGCCGATTGGTTTTCGGCCGACCGTTTACGACCTCCGGTACCGTACCACTGCCGCCAGAACGGTTGCGGGTCGGCTGTGCACGTCGATTTTCTAATCGACGGCCGAC